ATAAAATTTTGCGTTAAGAAAAGTTAATCGCGTTGTGCACAGATCGGAGGGCAATACGAAACTAACTCGCGAACTGTCAAAGTCGTCCAAAAATGAGTTTATGTTTATATTACACGAGGCAACTACTCCGAAATTAAAATTTTAAAGTAATAGAAAATTATCTAAAAATTATTTTAAGTCCCGCGCGCGATTCGGACTTTTTAATGTATAAATAAATGTACTATTGTTTAAATATTACTCTATTCTATCCCGCGTGCAATGAAAATCGTTTAAATAATTATAAAATTATCGACAATCGTTAATTTATAAAATTTTGCGTTAAGAAAAGTTAATCGCGTTGTGCACAGGTCGGAGGGCAATACGAAACTAACTCGCGAACTGTCAAAGTCGTGAAAAAGTGTGTTTATGTTTATATTACACGAGGCAACTACTCCGAAATTAAAATTTTAAAGTAATAGAAGTTTATCTAAAAATTATTTTAAGTCCCGCGCGCGATTCAGACTTTTTAATGTTTAAATAAATGTACTATTGTTTAAATATTACTCTACTCTATCCCGCGTGCAATGAAAATCGTTTAAATAATTATAAAATTATCGACAATCGTTAATTTATAAAATTTTGCGTTAAGAAAAGTTAATCGCGTTGTGCACAGGTCGGAGGGCAATACGAAACTAACTCGCGAACTGTCAAAGTCGTCCAAAAATGAGTTTATGTTTATATTACACGAGGCAACTACTCCGAAATAAAAATTTTAAAGTAATAGAAGTTTATCTGAAAATTATTTTAAGTCCCGCGCGCGATTCAGACTATTTAATGTTTAAATAAATGTACTATTGTTTAAATATTACTCTACTCTATCCCGCGTGCAATGAAAATCGTTTAAATAATTATAAAATTATCGACAATCGTTAATTTATAAAATTTTGCGTTAAGAAAAGTTATTCGCGTTGTGCACAGATCGGAGGGCAATACGAAACTAACTCGCGAACTGTCAAAGTCGTCCAAAAATGAGTTTATGTTTATATTACACGAGGCAACTACTCCGAAATTATAATTTTAAAGTAATAGAAGTTTATCTGAAAATTATTTTAAGTCCCGCGCGCGATTCAGACTTTTTAATGTTTAAATAAATGTACTATTGTTTAAATATTACTCTACTCTATCCCGCGTGCAATGAAAATCGTTTAAATAATTATAAAATTATCGACAATCGTTAATTTATAAAATTTTGCGTTAAGAAAAGTTAATCGCGTTGTGCACAGGTCGGAGGGCAATACGAAACTAACTCGCGAACTGTCAAAGTCGTGAAAAAGTGCGTTTATGTTTATATTACACGAGGCAACTACTCCGAAATTAAAATTTTAAAGTAATAGAAGTTTATCTGAAAATTATTTTAAGTCCCGCGCGCGATTCAGACTTTTTAATGTTTAAATAAATGTACTATTGTTTAAATATTACTCTACTCTATCCCGCGTGCAATGAAAATCGTTCAAATAATTATAAAATTATCGACAATCGTTAATTTATAAAATTTTGCGTTAAGAAAAGTTAATCGCGTTGTGCACAGGTCGGAGGGCAATACGAAACTAACTCGCGAACTGTCAAAGTCGTGAAAAAGTGCGTTTATGTTTATATTACACGAGGCAACTACTCCGAAATTAAAATTTTAAAGTAATAGAAGTTTATCTAAAAATTATTTTAAGTACCGCGCGCGATTCAGACTTTTTAATGTTTAAATAAATGTACTATTGTTTAAATATTACTCTACTCTATCCCGCGTGCAATGAAAATCGTTTAAATAATTATAAAATTATCGACAATCGTTAATTTATAAAATTTTGCGTTAAGAAAAGTTAATCGCGTTGTGCACAGATCGGAGGGCAATACGAAACTAACTCGCGAACTGTCAAAGTCGTCCAAAAATGAATTTATGTTTATATTACACGAGGCAACTACTCCGAAATTAAAATTTTAAAGTAATAGAAAATTATCTAAAAATTATTTTAAGTCCCGCGCGCGATTCGGACTTTTTAATGTATAAATAAATGTACTATTGTTTAAATATTACTCTACTCTATCCCGCGTGCAATGAAAATCGTTTAAATAATTATAAAATTATCGACAATCGTTAATTTATAAAATTTTGCGTTAAGAAAAGTTAATCGCGTTGTGCACAGGTCGGAGGGCAATACGAAACTAACTCGCGAACTGTCAAAGTCGTGAAAAAGTGTGTTTATGTTTATATTACACGAGGCAACTATTCCGAAATTAAAATTTTAAAGTAATAGAAGTTTATCTAAAAATTATTTTAAGTCCCGCGCGCGATTCAGACTTTTTAATGTTTAAATAAATGTACTATTGTTTAATTATTACTCTACTCTATCCCGCGTGCAATGAAAATCGTTTAAATAATTATAAAATTATCGACAATCGTTAATTTATAAAATTTTGCGTTAAGAAAAGTTAATCGCGTTGTGCACAGGTCGGAGGGCAATACGAAACTAACTCGCGAACTGTCAAAGTCGTCCAAAAATGAGTTTATGTTTATATTACACGAGGCAACTACTCCGAAATTAAAATTTTAAAGTAATAGAAGTTTATCTGAAAATTATTTTAAGTCCCGCGCGCGATTCAGACTATTTAATGTTTAAATAAATGTACTATTGTTTAAATATTACCCTATTCTATCCCGCGTGCAATAAAAATCGTTTAAATAATTATAAAATTATCGACAATCGTTAATTTATAAAATTTTGCGTTAAGAAAAGTTAATCGCGTTGTGCACAGGTCGGAGGGCAATACGAAACTAACTCGCGAACTGTCAAAGTCGTGAAAAAGTGCGTTTATGTTTATATTACACGAGGCAACTACTCCGAAATTAAAATTTTAAAGTAATAGAAGTTTATCTGAAAATTATTTTAAGTCCCGCGCGCGATTCAGACTTTTTAATGTTTAAATAAATGTACTATTGTTTAAATATTACTCTACTCTATCCCGCGTGCAATGAAAATCGTTTAAATAATTATAAAATTATCGACAATCGTTAATTTATAAAATTTTGCGTTAAGAAAAGTTAATCGCGTTGTGCACAGGTCGGAGGGCAATACGAAACTAACTCGCGAACTGTCAAAGTCGTCCAAAAATGAGTTTATGTTTATATTACACGAGGCAACTACTCCGAAATTAAAATTTTAAAGTAATAGAAGTTTATCTGAAAATTATTTTAAGTCCCGCGCGCGATTCAGACTATTTAATGTTTAAATAAATGTACTATTGTTTAAATATTACCCTATTCTATCCCGCGTGCAATAAAAATCGTTTAAATAATTATAAAATTATCGATAATCGTTAATTTTTAAAATTTTGCGTTTAGAAAAGAGAATTACGATGTGCACAGGTCGGAGAGCAAGAGAAAACTAATTAAAAGCTGTCAAAGTTAAGAAAAAGTGTGTTTGTGTTTATATTACACAAGGCCGACTTCCCCCAAATTGAAATTTAAAAATAATGGAACTTTATATGTAAATTATTTTAAGTCCGTTGCGCGTTTAAGTATTTTTAATGTTTAAATAAATGCTTTAGTGTTTCATTATTACTTTACTCTATCGCGCGTACTTGAAATATTGTTTAAATAATTATAAAATTTGCGAAAGTGTTAATTTTTAAGTTTTCGCGTTTAGAAGATGAGTATCACGATGTGCACACGTAGGTGTGCAAGAAAGAACTAACTCGGAAGCTGTCAAAGTTAAGAGAAAGCGTGTTTATGTTTATATTACACAAGACCATCAACCACAAGGTGAATATTTAAAGTATTTTTATTCAATATCAATATTACTTTATATTTATGGCTCGTTAACTTCTTTTTATTGTTTAAGCAAAGGTACTATTGTTTTATGTAATTATTATTAGTGTAGTCCGCATATATTATATATTGTTTAAATAATTATAAAATTATCGAGTATATTAGTTTATGAATTTTAGTTTTATAAAGTAAGATCGCGATGTTCACACGTCGGAATGCAAGTGAGTACTAATTTACTAATTATCAAAGTTTAGGAAAGATGCGTTTGTTTTCTATTACATAAGGCCAACAATTTTTGAATTTTGGAATTTCATATTAATATTATCTTTAATTCTTCGCGCGTTTCCGATTTTTTAATGTTTAAGTGAATGTACTATTGTTTAAATATTAGTTTACCGTACTATATGTACAATAAATATTGTAAAAATAATTGAAAAGTTATCGAAAATATTATATTATAAGTTTTCGCGTTTAGAAAGAGTGAGTTTAGATGTGCATACTTCGGAGTGCAAAATGAAAATAACTCGGTAATTGTCAGAGTTAATAGATAGACTATGTATGTTTATATTACGCAAAGCCAATAACCTCGAGATTAAAATTTAAAGCACTGAAATTTTACATTAAAATGATCTTAATTTTCTCGTTCTTTACGATCTTTATAATGTTTAAGGAATATACTATTGTTTAAATATTAGTTTATTGTATTATGTCTACATTAAAGATTGTTTAAATAATTATAAAATTATCGAAAGTATTAATTTATAACTTTACGCGTTTAGAAAATGAGATTCTCAACGTGTACAAGTGCAAGAGAGAACTAACTCGAGGACTGTCAAAGTTAAGAAAAAGCGTGTTTATGTTTATATTACGCAAGGCCAACTACTCCAAGATGAAAATTTTAAGTATCGAAATATTAATTTAAAATTATTCTAAGTCCCACGCGCCTTATCGTATTTTTAATGTTTATATAAATGAACTATTGTTTAAATATTAATCTATCCTATTCCGCTGTATATTAAAAATTGTTTAAATAATAGTGAAATTAATTTGTAAGACCGTAACCAGAATTATTTATAGTGAAGTGTCGCCATCTGGCGAAAAATTCAAATAAGTATTCTCGAGAATTGTCCACCAATCACATGTGTTTAAAAACAAAATATGATTGGCTATTGTATATAGCTGATCATAGATTCTGTTTGATATTTGCTCATGTGCGTGTATAACACGATCAGCTGATAGCATATGTTACACAGTTATAATCTTGAATACTACTTTGTTATAAATTAGTTTAATTATTACTTGTATAGTTTATTAAGATTGTAAAAGTATGGCTAATTTTTAATATATGTGAAATAAAATATGTAAATAGTCAGCGATTATTATAGACTTCATAAATGATATGTTTTTTTAACAATACTTTATAAAAAATTTTAATTATTAACAAAATGACAGATGAACGTAATTTTCGATCTTCTTATTATGAGAAGGTAAACGAATATAAACTTTTATAATTAACTTATTTTGTTTAATATATGTCATTAAATAATTTTAGTTTCTCACTTTTGTAATTGTTGAATATAAATTTTCACTTAAAACATACAATCTAATATTGTATCTTTCTATATTTTAGGTAGGATTTCGCAGTGTGGAAGAAAAAAAGTCATTGGAGATATTGTTAAAAGAACATCCATTTGATAAAATGAAACTCAAGCAGTTCTGTTTAAGATTCACTGTCCCTGCTATGTATAGAAATTTAATATGGAAAATATTACTTGACGTTATACCTATTTATATAGAAAGCCATGAATTTATAATGAAACAACGTAAAGCAGAATTTGAAGATTTACAGAAAGCACTCAAAGTAACAAAGTTTATGGAATACAATGCAAAACCACATTTAATGCTTCTTACAATGTGGCTTTTACGAACAAGACGAACAAAAATAGATATGAGTACTCAATTGGAATCATCTTTATATAGGTTAGCGGTATTTATTATAATATATATATAAAAATATAATATACGTAAAAGCAATTTGCTAAACATATTCTAACTATTGTACAAATGCAATGTACAATTTAGATTACATTTGTATTAGGGCAATGAGCAGAATGGCTGAGGCGCTCTGGCATATCATAGATACAGATTCTGGACAAGATAAATTAGTAGATGTATATTGGATACTATGTGGACTTTTGAATCAGGTACAAAAATTTCATGCAGAAGTTGGTAGATTACAAGAATGTACATGTACATTATTAGAAAGAGAAGATCCAGAATTATCTAAGCATCTGGCCAGAATTGAAGCTCTTCATAATCTTCCATTTGATATGTGGTTTTACTCGTGTTTTGCAGGCACAATATGTAATGGATCAATAGCCAAGTATATATATTATAATTTATAATAAAATGTTAATCAAATAATTGGAAGAATTATTACAATATACATTATAAACTTACATAATAAACTGTAATCATCATTATACTATAACAATGCAATGATTGATTTTCTAATTATAGGATATGGGACAAAATAACTGTAGGAGCATATAAAATTTTGGTGTTCGTGGCTGTGATTATGTTAACCACTCTTAGGCGTTTTCTATTGCGCACTGACACTATAGACAGTGTGTTGAATACAATCAATAATGTAAATTAATTATTAAATACAACTATAGTTTATAAATATCGTTTAATAATTATTTAATATATATATTTTTTTTTAGATAACTGAAAAAACGTCTGAATTAATAGTAAATAAAGCAATAGAATCTTGGCAGCAAAGTGGTTCTACACTAACATCTATTTCACAAAATACAGTGAATATAACACAGAGTACATAATATGAGGAACTATATTCTACAAATCTGTAAAACATGAGAAAATAATTAAAAAAAAAAAAAATAATAATAAAAAAAAAAAAAAAGAAAAACCATGAAAAAAGAGCTATTCTCTTAAGCATACCTTCTTTTATCTTAAAAATATTTACTTTTTTTTATTAGCGCACCCATCATACATTGTACATATACAATTACTTAACTCAGCAAAGAGTTAAGCCATGACATTAGTACCTACTTATATTTAACATTATATTCTTTCTATTCATCTCATGATGTTTTGCTGTATGATACAATTGTATATATGTACTCCAGTGAATAAGAGCATGTTACTAAAGGATTTCTAGGAATTAACACAACAACAGTGTACATTTGTGTCTGTACTATTTATACTTGCATTCTCCAAGAAATCTGCTGCTCAATTTTAATATTAATATAGAACAATTTTATATTTTGCAAAAGCTTTCCTTATATATATACATATATATATATACAAAATTAATTTTTATCTAAATAACGAAAAGAAGGAAAAAGAAATTGAATAATAGACTACTCCAATTTGTTTCATTATTTTGTCAATAGTAATTTCAAAACTTTTTAACTCAACTCTGAAACAGTCATTAAATGGAACATTATTAAATTAGAAAACAGAAAAATTCTTGGAGAAAGTTGAGATCATATAAAAGTGTATGTCTTACTGGCATATCCAACATTTTCTGCAGAAATATATTGTTTTCTTATCTATATCCACCATAGTTTCCAAAACAATTTTCTTTTATTTCTCATTCTTTGGCATTAAAAGACCAAATGTCTTTCTTTTTATTCTTATTGTTAGTTTATTTCTTTTAATAATGGCATTAGCAATCTGATGCAAGCCAGGCAAGAATGATATATGCAACCAATTGAAAGTGTTATATTCCAAGTACTTAAAGTAAAATATTGTTTGAAATAATACAACTTCGATAAATTTTATATATACAGATATGAATTGAAAATTCATGTTCATTATCATAAATTATCTAAAAATAATTTCATCTAATGATTTAATTTGTTATTGAAAATCTTAAGAAACACAAAATATTTGAATTTAACAGAGCCATTCACAATTTGAGACAGTGTACAGATAAAGTATTCTACCAATACATTCCTGAATGCTGATGATATAATACTAAATTTATATATGATCAACGCATTGGTCATATTAAAAGTTTTTAATTAAAAATAGGGCTACACAATAATGTTTTATCAGAATTTCTTTAATTTTTCTTGTTGCCTTAGGATGACAAAATTTATATAAATTGTGTTATATTCATTAAGGCCTTTTCATTCATGCTGACAATTTATAATCACTAAATGATAGATATTTTGTGCAGAAAAAAAAGTAGTTCACACATTCTGTAAAATGCTTTAAATTAAGTTATCATTGTGTATAAATTAATTAAAAAGACAGAAGTGCGCAACTACTCCTACTTGATAATGAACACTATGATAGAATTACCTATGTTCATAATAAAACAATAAAATATTACACAACATACCTCTTAACTTTGGTGAAATTTACGCATTTTAAATATTGTAGCTATGACAACAATAGAAGAAAAAACGTTTATGTATTCAAAAATATAATTTCTAATGGGGTAAAAGTATTCAAGGTTTCAATGTTTTCTACAATATAAAGCAGTGACTTTCTATTATGAATATACTGCATATTTATTATCAGGAATGTGTGAGTGTCATGAAAGAAATAAATGAAACTTTTTACCATTTTCATCCTAATGTTTTTGCATGATTAATGGATGTTCTCATAGACATTACAATGTAATGTATATCCGCAAAGTGTATTATCATATAGCGATTAGCTAATAAAAATTAAATTTGCATGTTTTTCTTTTTGTATTAGATATTAAATCAATAAAAGGGTACTCAAATAAAGGATATGACACAACTTAGAAGTCTATTAAAAATACTGTCATTTTTCTTGCCATTTTGTGCTGCATTGCTATTGGCAAGCTACGCAAACTAGTGATCAATGATTGTTGTCTCAAAATTGCTGACTTCTAATATAATATAATTCAATTCAAGAATTGTTAAAAGAACAGAGCAACTTGATTTTTTTCTTCATTTTCTTTTTTCTTTTTTTTTTTTTCCTTTTTATATATATATATATAACAAAACTCTGTTCCAAATAGGGCTGTATCTGCTTTGAAGAAGAACCCTTTCTTAGTCACACAAGCACTGCTTGTGGAAATTACAACCTAAACATTAAGTTGATTGATAGTCCTAAAATCAAGCTTAGTTAATGACTTAAAGAAATAGTATAATACATTATAGACAAATCTATTACAATCTCTTTGAAGTTGGTGCACTTTACACCGGTGACCACTTCACTGATTAATGTTTCGTCATTTTGTGAGAATACATATCTTGCCCATGAACAATAACTGTCTTTGAATTTATCAGCAGCTATAGTGCAGCAGAGTTGCAATTGTCGACTAGTGGTGATAGTGGTCCTACCTTTCCTCTTCCACTTCCCATCCTATCTGGCTCATAATGAACGTCCAAGGATAAACCTGTAAAAAATATTTTATTGATTTAAAATAAATCTTTTCGAATATAAAATGAAACATTTTTATCTGTAATTAATATATTTTATCGATAATACAAACGCGCGCGCGTGCGTGTGTACAGTCATATATATTACATATTTTAAAAGTAATTATTTCTAAGCAATGAAAAATATATACTTAATTAAATATTATTGCAGTTATTAATATTAGCAAATATATATTACTTTCAATGTAAAACCCTGAAGCAATGACTTCCAAATAAACCCACCACCAAACACATTTGTTTTTTAGTGTATGTGGCAACCTGTAACGTACATTTCTGATATGCGTATTTACCGGAGGGCCTCCGGGAGGTGGATGGATGATGTAATGCTCCTGTTGCCATTGTGGTAGTTTCAGGGATGAATGCAGCAACCAGCAATGCACAAATCACTAGTAATGCGCCAAATACAAATGGCGGACCTGGTACAAGCTGAAAAAAATATTTTTTAATTTTGTCTCCAATAAATATTGTATTATAATTATTGTATGCTAAGTAGATATATATAACATTAATACAATATGATATATCAATACTTTATAACTTATCAAGAAGTACCTGGGGCATAATATCAAGGTGTTGTGTGGCAGTTCCCGTTCTGTTATTCTCATCCAAAAGAGATGGTTTTAAGGGTAGAGAGGGTGTATCATCATTGAGATCAACATGAAAAAGATAGAATATTACACCAAACATTGCAGGTCCCAAACCATTACAGAGACCACGCATTCCAGTCACCATTCCTTGTACCAAACCCTGCTTATCGGCATCCGAGTGCATAGATACAAATGCAGAAATTGCAGGATATGTGATACTTGACACAGATGCTAGAGCTCCTGCTGCCCACATCATCCTTGAAATTGCAATCAATTTATACAATAATTTATATTTATAACCGTAAATCCTTTAAAAATTAATCCATATAAAGTAATGATATATTCCAGGAAATGTAATTAATTACGAAAATAACTATAAAAGTGACATTACCATATTTGTGAACCGAAGCCATACCACATGAGTTGTAACATCTCAAACAAAAGGCCCAACATTATAGTATGTTTACTACCAAGGGTTCTCATTAAAGGTCCTAGTATTATTTGAGCCCCCACACTTAATATTCCAACCACAGCAATAAACCATGCCACCATAGCAGCAGAAAATCCCATAGCCAATTTTAAGTAGACAAAAATACAGCTATATTGACCTGCCTCAGGAAGATAACTCAGGAACACAGTGACGCACAGCATCAAAATTGTATGATCTTTTCCAACCTGATATAATAAAAAAATAACACAATGATTAATAATGATAATTATAAATGTGACATAATACTAAAAATAATAATAGAAATTTCTAACAATAGAAATTCTAATATGCTGCCAAGTTTCTTAGACATTTATTACCTTTCCTAGGGCTGCAAAAGGATCAGCTTGCTCCCAAGATATGGGTGCTGGTGGTCTTGCTTTTTCAGGTAAACTTTCAGGTACAGCTACTAATATGAAAAAAACATCTAAGACTGCAATTGCTGTTGCTAATGCAACTGCCAAATTTTCTCCATATTTTGTCATGGTATAAGCTCCTAAAGCTGGGCTAATTACCATACTAGCAGCAAAAGTTGCAGAAACCTAAAACGATTAAATTAATTTATAAAGATATAGTTAAAAAGATATTATTAAAAAAATGTGCTTTTAAAAAAATGTGATATAAAAAAAAAATAGTACTTACTAAACCATATGCCAATGATCTTTGATTTTCTTCTGTAACATCGGCAACATATGCGAATACTACAGAAAAAGTACAAGCAAAAACACCGCTTATTGAAATCATAGCAAAAAACCACCATGTGTTTATGCTCATTAGTGGAATTGGTGCACAGGTGAAGGCCACTGTGATAAGTAAGAAAAATTTTCGACCCCACACATCTGATAAAGCACCAATTAATGGTGCCGAAAGGAAAGATAAAATCCCTTTGATGCCCATTATTAAACCATTCATGAGGAACGTATGATCCGGAAATGTTTCATTTAATACAGAAATGATAGGCATGGTTAATAAACCCCATGCAAAAAATTCCAAAAATATTACAACCAATGCATGATATACGCTTGCCTCTCCTACTCCAGAACTCTGTGAAATAAAAGAATATACAATATTATTAAATAGCAATAATTTATTATCAGCTATAGAATTAGAAGTAATGGAATTATAAATCGTAAAATGAAACCTTAAGGTGCCTGTAGCATTGCTGGGCAAATGTAAGAGGAGGTGTAAATTTTGCAATAGCATGTTCTTGACTATTGTGAATATCAGAACAGGAAGGGCCCAAGCCCTCTGCTCCCCCTTTTGCCCCAGGGGGCATGACCCCTAAGAATTATTACTATACGTATTTTTTCTCATACTTAATTATTTACTTGATCATTTTATCTTTCGTGGAAATCCATATAATACAAATATTTGTTTTCATCTCATAAATCTTTGACTTATCTTGAAAAAATTACGCGCTCAACCTTTTGTAGACTAAAATCTTAAAAATGTATCTTTGTCTATATATTTTTTCTCATACTTTTGTTTAATCACACTTTTATTTGTTAAGATCATGTTATGAATATAATTTTATTGCATTATCTTTGAATATAAATTACACCGAATAATAATACCACATCGGATATATTTATTTATAAGTACATTTATATATGTGCACGCACTTTTCTTAAGCAATTTGTGTGATCTATTTCCACAGTCTTCTTTGACCAAATATTCAGATCATATAAAGTTTATCTTTCCTTTCTTACGTTTATTTTATATAACTGATTAAGTCAAGCACCATGTTCTTTGTGCTAATTTATTTTGTATCTTAAGTAATTATATTACATTTAAGAAGTAAATTTCATTATTGATGGAGTTAACTTATTTCTTAATATATATCACAAGCATTATAAGTGCAAATGAGTATTCTTTGCAAGTTTTTTGTACAACCTTTAAAAAGGAACATCACTTCACATCAGTGCCACGAAGAACGCTAATTCTTTCCAGAAATGAAGCAAAAGGATATATCTAAAAGGATGGCTATCTTTAGCTTTTTCACTTATCTATGAATGCCAGAATTTATTTCTGTGACCGCTTAAGAAGCATCAAAAATTACTTGATCGGCAGTGCAACGCACATTTCAACTCATTTATCTTTATCTTTGTGAAATTTTATTCTTATAATTTTGAATTTTTTTTTATGATCCCTCAAATTGGAACGATAAATCATCTGCTCGTACACATTTTTATAATATTTCCTGCTTTTTCGTATATGATAATCACACTCAATAAGGAATAAACTTTCATATAAATACCAGAGATCCTTCTTATACAATAGTACATAGCTTGCTGATAAAAATTTTTTTAAAGCCTGCCAATAATTATCCTGCGTAGTATTCCCTTTTACAAACTTTTTTCGCAATTTGTATCGTTTAATCTTAGGACACGATATAATTCGATAATACGATACATCGGTGAATATTTCAAAATTCAGGGCAAATTTCCGAATTGGCATGAAATATCTTAATGTTCCGATATCTTTTGACAGGTGAACCTCTGCAGCCTTGACTTCGGAACTCACGGTCGAGGCGTGACGTCATGCGGTTCCGCAATCGCGACAATTAATGTCCGATATACGATTACACGATGTCCGTTTACGAAAATTGAATTTCCGAGAATATCAAAAATATTCAACGATTGACGTATCTCTTTAGAAATCGTAACACGCATATCGAAGACCAATTTTTACGTCGGGTGGAGGCATACTCCATTTCGTTTCCTAACGTCTTTCAAAGTCCCGTACATTAATCGATACAATTTCCATTAAATTACATACGATCACATATTTCAAAAGAAATTTTCTAAATTTGGTATTTAACAAATTTTCCTTATTTTGATTATGATTATATGAAAATATCCGCGAGAACACAAACCACTGCATTGCAACTCTCTCCCACTGATCCCCACTCTACTACTCTTGTACCATTCTATACTCTGTTCATCGTAACAGTTTCGATTCGATATAACTTCAGGAGTATCATAACCACTTCATGGTATTCAATCACTGATTTCGATTACGTACCAAACTATTGCCCTTTCCAAAATAAAGTTATTCTCAGTAATCAGGAGAAGTTTATATCTCTCTGTGTCATGTTTTTGATAAATGCACGTTAAAAATTGTACCTGCGTACGTGTATGTACGTGGCGATTAGTTGTCACCGATCAATATACACGGAAACTTTATTATACAGAAAGCCGTAGTACGATCGATTTAATAATGTCGAATAGCGACAACTATTTATAATATTTTCTTTTTCTTATATCATCTTAACTAATCTTTATAACTTTGATACCCTTTCTCTCTCTCTCTCTCTCTCTCTCTCTCTCTCTCTCTTTCTTTCTTTCTTTCTCTCTCTCCCATTCTCTTTTTCTTCCATTTTACATCACACTTTTAACATTTTTATTTTATACGATATTATAATATAAATTATATATTATATTATTGTTTCATTTATTAATTAATTAACGAGATTATACTTTATGTAACATATATATATATATATTTTTTTTTTTTTAAGAAATTCATGTCAATAGATTAGAAAAAAATTTCATTGCCATATTGTACTGATTACTTAGTTTATCTAATTTTCCTAATAATACGAATGTCACTCTTAAGTTTTAAAAAATAAAACAAATTAAAAAGAAAGAGTTAAACTAAAAAAAAAACCAAATCTGTTTAAATAACATTATAGATGAAAACTTTAAGGGAAATAAAAAGAGAACTAAAACCCTTAAGATCAGACGCTTTAACAGGATTGGAAAAGAAGCATAATGTACTATAGCTTTGTTTACTAATGTTCTTTACTGTACCATCCTTATCTTATAATTAAAAGAAAACAGTACTGTAGAAATATATCATACAAATGAAAGAAGAATATGTCTTTTGAAGAGATATGATAATGTTCTTAACAATATTTATATACCATTACAAGATCAATCAAAAAAGAAATAAATATTCCATGTATAATGTGATATAATGAAATCAATAGAAAAATAACAACTTCTTTGTTACTAAAGAAAAAGATAAAATAAACAAAGGAAATATAATCTTCATAAGTAAGTTGTGTTTATAAATATCACATGTTTTACTGTTTCTTTTGAAAATAAATGAATTTCAAATGTATGATATTATTGTGTTAAAATAAAGATTGTTAAACATATTTGAAAAGAGAAAATATTCTATATAATAATTATAAACTGTACGTAAAATAGTAAACATAGACCTTTACATAGACTGTTCGTGCTCATTCTATGATTTCATAATATTCCAGAAGACAATTAAATATAAAATATAGGGGGATCATGGATTACTTTAACCACTTGTGTGCGTTAAAATGTAATTCAATGAAATTTTCAGTACCGTAATGACTCCATCCTTCATGATGGACTTTCGGCTTCGTATGATCATGCCTACGACCTTCTTTGAGACCTTGGCGGGCATATTCATGCACTGCGCGCACAGACTCTTTCGTTTCTTTAATTTCATCAATCCCTACAAAATAGCCTTCACCGTTTGAGTCATTTTACCAATGATTATCGCCTTTGAACTTTGAACACAAAACAAAACTTTCGCTTCAAATTCTTCTCATGACAGTATCCTACATAACACCAAGCCACGAACTACCGTATGCACATACTCGGCGTAGCTCGATGTAGGAACATCCACTTACTAGCGCACAACGGTGGATGCTTTCCATTTGCACGCGGGAAAGCAACACGCGTACTTGTGTTCAAGCCGCATGGCGCTTCTTACAATCGCACAAAATAATATTTATACAATTGGGTCTTATAATGTTAAATATCTTATTGGCTAATCGAAATTTATTATATATATTTATATTTCGTTCGATCATATATATACTATAATTTAAATAATCATTTAAAATAATACATTCTATATAATGCCATTGAGAATTACCTTGAAAATTGTACGTACATCTTATTAAAAATTAGTGGTAAAGAGATCTTTACTAAATAATCTTATCTTTTGTATTATTTCCCTAGACATTACAGCGATCGAATACGCGAATTGGTCAAACCCCCTAGTTAGTTTAGGGAAATTTTATAAACATTCGTACCGTTTGTAATACGTTTATGCAACGTAGATGGCGCAAATATAATCATTGATATTAATTGTAAAATGAAAATCTTTATTTTTGTCTTTTAAAGTGTATTATAAATCGATTTACAGAAGATATATATTTTCTATATATTTTCAAGTATAAATTAAATTGTCTTACATACAACTATAATACAAAATGACATAATATGTCATATTTTAGATCTATCGTATCAATTTTTTAAATCAAATACTTTGTTACACATTTCTGATATAATTAAAATTATACTTAACGCTGCCACATCATTTGAGTATCACATATACGCATGTATCAAGTAAGTTTGTACAATTTCATTACGATATTATTTTTTTTTTTTATTGTACGGATATTGTAAATAATTACATATGTTTGTGTAATATTTTATTTTTAAAATACAAGCTCTTTCTAATTTTTAATATTCTAACATATTTTCTCCGTCAATATATTTAATTTGATCAACTTCGTATCATCGAATTTTATCGGCGCCAAATATTCACTGATTTGAATAATCGACTGCGTCGCAACTACACCGACTAATTCTCATCATTGTTATTCATTCTTTTCTTTATAATTTTTTTAATTATATATTAAAATCGATTAAATATATTTAATATTATACTTTTACAGATTAATCTTGATTTTATAATAATAATAAATAACGTAGTCATGTGAGAGAATATTTGATCATAAACTTTATCAAATTACCGTTGCAGTACCGTTACTCTTTGTCAGATAATTAATCTTAAATACTATACACGAATATATCCTTAAATATATTAGTAAAACTTTAGGTTCTTACTTATACTACTAAGAACGAATTAATCATATGTTTATCTTTGCCCTTAGTCAGATAATCTTATCTGTTGAACAATACCCATAAACATAAATAAATACATTGACTAAGGTTCAGATAAAAAATTAGAAAACAATTAGATAAATCAGTACTTCTACTTTTTATCCTTATTTTTATTCAAATAATCAGATAAATTTATGGTCGTTTTTGTTCGGTTAATCATATTTATTCGACAGTATTGACAAATATACATGAATATATTGGCCAAGGTTCTGGTAGATATATAAGAACAATTGGTCAAAATGTAGACGTTTACCGTTACAGTACCGTTACTTCAAGTTAATCACTAATCCAGCTTGCAATTGGTCGTAGTTGTAATGAGTTTGTGACTGTCGCAGTTTTATGGTGATGGTTGTTGGTAATGGTAGTGGTTGTTGGTGTGCTGATTGTTGGTGGTAGTCTCAGTTTGTTGTTGTCGCAGTTGACCGTTGGTCGTGATTGGTGACGATCAGAGGAATATAAATACGTGGTTCATACTTGATAATATTTTTTCAACGATCTAATTAATTTAAGAGGATTTTTGAAATCTTTCAAATAACGCATCAAACTACAACAAAAAAAAGGTATGTGATCGAAGGTCGAGCAGTTACTTTCGGAACGCGACTTAAATGTCGACGATCGTACTGCGCATAGTACCGCAAGAGAGCGTAGCAACCAGTGAAAAAAATGGTGGTTATTTGGGTGTAGTCGGGAGATTTTCTGCAACACAAATGTGAGTACCGGCAGATTAAGGGATTACGAGTGCTGTTTGTCAGTGCACCACAAAGCTAATATGATCAGGTTTATATCGGAGGTAATGAGAATATTAAAAATAAACTGGATATTCGATAATTTCACTTGGATAGCTTCGGCATTGGTATGAGGGTACTGTTCGTCTTCGCATGACAAGTACCAACAGTCTTTTCGCTCAGATTTATCAGTCAAAAATATATGAAAAAGTCATAATTTTTCTTGAAATAGAAAAAATTTAACTTCCATTACGCTTCTCTAAAATTCTTGCGGTTAGACAATATGTAAAATATATAAGGACACGATATTTTTGAGATAGATGTCACATTATCTCGGTGTCTCTCTATGTGCGTGTACGATTGTGTGCAGTTATTTGATTTGCGGCGTGCGAGTGTATTACTTCCTTCTATCTTCGTGTGTACATGCATACGCTGTGCGTACAGCATGCGGCGCAATGGTGCTTGTGAGATACGTATATCATATATGTACGTAAAGATGTACTATATACCGACCGACTATATACTGTCAACATTTTTCGAGTCTGTCCCATGATACTTAATTACATTCTACGCCTTTAGTGTGGTAAATCCTTTCCTTCGCGGTCCGTTTATCTACATTTTGCGTTGCAATTTAAACGACCGGACTAAGATGAATATTTGCATATCTTTGCTATATGATTTAAACTATAGATAGTATGTAATATATAACTTCTGTGCTAATAACGACGATAGTTCCTCTTATATTTATTGGCAAGTGGATGTGATCAGCATTGTTCTATTGATGAAGTTAAATTTATATAATCTGTGTGGTATAGAAATTTTCGCAAGATAGAAGCTGCATAAGCAATACAAATGTTCAGTCTCAATAAGTTTATATATATCATTACAATACTTAAAATTCAACTCTAATAGTAATACATTCATAAGTTATAACAAAACTTTTAGTATTACATTTTTTTTCTATGACATATGCATAATATCTTTTTAAATATTTTAATAGCTATATATTAAATATATATAGAATATTTCATACTCTTAAAATACACTTCATAATTGATACAGTTAATACAAAAAGTATTATGTGCACTTAAAATGCACTTATCTTATACATTCGTAAAAAGCACTGAGATAATATAAAAGACTGTTAAATTGAAATAAATATTATAATAAATTTTTATTCAAAAAATAATTAATTAAATTATCGTTTTAACTATATAAAAAAATTAGATCAATATATATTTTAAACAATCTTTTTTAATTTACTTTAACCTATATTTTAGAAAGTAAATAATGAAAATATTACTTTTTTTTAAATATTTTTCTTAACTTATACTAATATAACAATTACTTATATATATATGTATATATATATATATGTATATATATATATGTATATATATATGTGTGTGTGTAATATTATATATATACACACACATACACATACAATGTTATATTTGTTGCATATACTGAACATATTAAATATTTGCTTTGAACAGAATATTTATGGAAGAAACACAATGTGGAGTTGCAGTATGTACCCAAAATTAGGACAGGATAATTTTCTATCTTCAAATGACCTTTAATCTATTTATTTTTCACTATTAGAAAACTGTTTCAAGAAGTCCTATGTGCAAAATAGAACTGAAAAAATCACGTTCGTTGTGTGCAGTATTTTTTTTTAAAATGTCAATAATTTTGATTTTGCATTATTGCACACAAAGCCAACAAATCTATTGGATTAAAAGCCATTCCTGCAATAAGATTGTGAAATGTTAAAAACCAGTTTAAAGAAAGAATTAATATTACAGATTATTTTTGTTACTTAGTTCTAAATGGGTCATATCAAGCTTTTTGTTTTAAAATGGTATATACAAAGGACAGCAAATAATTTAAAAGACTATACCTTGGAGTCTTGAAGGTGTTTTATATGGTGATTATAGATAACATTGTCCACACCTCATAATTGTGTATATAATACCTTTACCATGATACTAATATTAATATAGTATTTTTAATATTAACAACTATTAACAATGCTGTAGTCGAAAAATATTTTGGCATAGATTATTATTTAATATAAAAAAAATTTTTTTTTTTTTTCACGCAAATATTATTTTTTATGTTTATATTGAAAGAACATAGCTTGTAAATAGTTTTTTGTTTCGTAGATAATATGTGTTCTATGTTTATTTGTAATATCTAAATAGTTGCACAAAATTATATTTCACATAATCTTTAATTAATTTTGACATATTTTCATTTTTAATCTTTAACATATTTTAATATTTTAATAATTTTTTAATTTGATTTTACTATTTGATTTCAGATTTCATCAAGTGATCTGGCATGACACATTTATTAACACTTAAGAATTATGGAAATTATGTATAAAGTTAAGATTATTGGAAAAGAAACGTTATAAAAATTTCTTCGATTCTTCGCATCTTTGAAGACAGGCTTATTTGAAATCATTACATCATAATTATTTAAAAAAAAAAAATCGAAGAAAAACAATATTAATTACTTATCTATTGAGCAAAAGTAAAAATAATAACATTCAAAATTGATCAACATTTTAACCAGCAAACTCTTATAAGTTGGTTATGTGCAATGCCGAGATGTTGCAATGAAAACAAGGCAGTGAGTTCGGTGCGTAGTAGTCAGAAACACAGCAGTGAAGATATTGTGCTGACACAAACTCAAGCTTTTGCGATTGGAAATCAATTAGATTTGGAGGAAGAGTCACCAGTGGTTGAAAAATCACATAGAAGAGTTCGTTGTGATTTGAGTCCTGTACCAACAAACACGAATTCTAATTTAAATATCAAACTTTTAAATATTAAGGTAAGTTTGTTATAGCGTAATTCAATTGTTGTTTAACAATTTTTTCCTTTTACTTTTCAAAGTTTTTATATAAAAATACCTAAAAATTTTTCAGTAGAATGATTTGGTCATAATAGTTTTTTCTTCTTTTTTTTCTTTTTTTTTTTCTTTTTTTTTTCTTTTTTTTTTTTTTTTTTTTTTTTTTTTTTTTTTTTTTTTTTTTTTTTCTTTTTTTTCTTTTTTTTCCAGACTGATAGAAGTACTCGTCAAGAACATCAGGTGAGCACTGGATCTGGTGGGTACAGAGAACGAGAAAGGGAGGCTAAAAAGAGAGCAGCTATAGGCAATACAGTGCGTGGTCTTCTCTCATCTGGCCACAGCAGGCAGGACAGGTATAATGATGTCTGTATCAAAAATCATGCTTTTTACATTGACACTTATTTATTTATTTTTTTTTTTTTTTCTTTCTTTTTTGTATAACTTAACGTTTATCTACCTTAACTTTTTATAGTAACTTAATAACTAAATGCAAATAAGTTTAATATTTTGATAGATGCCACAATGAAGATTATATCTTTAAAATTTTATATTACTCTTTTGTTGTTTGATTTTGTATACATTTATGTATATTTCTATTAAGTTTAAGAAAGTTGTGTAATGCACCTTTATATACATGCTTCTTTGTACTTCTTTTTTTTTCTTTTTCTTTTTTTGCTCCATAAAAAAAGCACATTCATTTTTAATTTTTTGCAAAATATAATTTTTTAATCTAATTAAAACAAGTGATCATATTAATACTGCTTATTTTCATAGTTATGTAAGTTTAATTTTGAGTTTATTTAAATAACTCACAATTGTTTTTATGTTTATGTGTTAGATGTCTTTATATTATGATTTGTTTGGAACTACCTTAAGCTTTATCTTAATATTCTGCATAACATAAATGAAGTTTTAGAATTGAGCATGACTTTTAACTGAATTTTAGGTATGAGACAAACAGGCAACGTTCATCAGGTGGTACCAGTGGTGGCCTGTCTAGTTTATGTCCTAAGCTGGTGGCCAGTGGGGGTGGTAGCAGCCAGGGTGGCATTGGTTTGTCAGTGGGCCACTTAGCCTCTCAAGAAGGAGGAAGTCCTTGTACAGTTGTTACAACACAAAGAACTCACAATCATTCGCATAATCATAGACGCCAAAGAAAGCTATCCATTGTTTCTCAAACTGCTTCTAGCTCCGGTAGCTCTTCTGAGAGAAAGGTATATTTCATATAATAAATATATTATGAAAATTAAAATAAATTTCAATGAATATAAATTTCTTTATATAGACTCTATCAGGCATAAGTCGCTCTTCTGCTACAATCTGCAAAAAGCAAATTCGAATGCAGCGAGCTGATCAAAATGCAGATTCATTGTCTATAACTAGCAACGGTGTTGCAACTAGTTCACCTTCTTCTAAGAAGAAGGTTTTATCTGCTCGTATTTCAGAAAAGTCGTCTCCTCGGAGTCAAGATTCATCCTCCTTAGATCATGAAAATGATCGCAGCTTTAGTGATGCAGAGGAGGCTATTACTGCAACAGAAAATGTGTTCAAAATATCGGGTAAGATTTAATATTTATATATAGATTAATGTATGAATAATATATAATAGATAATGAAAAATATTATTGATTTTCATATTCAGGATGTAGTTCTACACCTTCCACACCAATGAGTAAAGTAAAATCGAAAAGAACAAATAAAGATGAAGTGAATATAGAACCGAATGTACATTTAGAGTGCACAGAATTATTAAAACATAATATCTCGAAAATGTTTTCTGGTATTAACGAGAAGGACACATCTGCAACAGAAATTCCAGAATGTACCACAACAGATACAATAGAGCCAAAAATGAAAAAAGATAATGTTAGCGAAGATTTTGTTGGACACAGCAATAAAAAAATATCCTCGTCTTCTGGTGCAAGTAAAAGAAATAATGATGGGGACAAATCTTTAAGATCTAAAAGTAAATCTATTCCACAAGATGTTAATAAATTACATAATTCTAAAACAATAGAAGAAATTGATATAAAAAGTAATGTAGATCCTACAACAACGTCCACAGAAACGTCCATGAATACTTTGAATGCAAATCCAAGAGGAAAATCATCTAATAATTGCTCTGAATCTGCTACTGTAAATAGTTTAGAAATGGAATCAATGCCTAAAGACTGTAATAAAGAAAAATCAAATGAGGAGATAGTAAAAAATTCCAGATTTGTTACATCCAAAGTTTCTGAAGAAGTGATAGAATCAGAAGGTAAAGAAACAGAGACACAAAGAGTTGAAGATGAATGTGTAACAATTTATGATGAAGATGATAATGGCACTAGCATTAGTGATATAGTAGCAGCTCAAGCACTTCACGAGTCTTTGAGTAAATTAGGAAAAGTTCCACCAATGGATACAGATATAGAAGTTATGAAGGATACAAACTTACAAGAAGAAACAGATGTAGAGAAAAATTCTCAGAAAGAAGGAATTACACAAGAAGAGACTGTCGAAGGTTTTATTGGCCCTTTGCTCGATGAAAATTTTAAAGCAGATGAAAAATTAAGTCAAAAAGCAATGGCTATGGAAGAAGTACGTAATTTATTAATGAAAGCAAAAATACAAACAGTTGAAGACGATGATGATGAAGAAAAAGCAATAGGTATTTCACCTGATGGAAGGTTCCTAAAATTTGAAGAAGAAATTGGACGTGGTAGTTTCAAAACTGTTTATCGTGGTTTAGATACTCAAACAGGAGTAGCTGTTGCTTGGTGTGAACTTCAGGTCAGTGAAGCATTGTGAAATGTAAAATATTTATAGTTCATGCAAATATGTTTTTAATATTTAAAAAAGATATGATATCTCTTTATAGGAGAAAAAATTAAATAAAACAGAAAGACTGAGATTTCGAGAAGAAGCAGAAATGTTAAAGGGACTCCAACATCCTAATATTGTTAGATTTTATGATTATTGGGAAGTCACGCTTACACGTAGAAAATATATTGTACTAGTCACAGAACTTATGACATCAGGAACACTAAAAACGTAAGTTCAATTTATAGAAAAATATTCTTAGTTTTTTCCTAAATACAAACTTTATCTTGACATTGGCTATTTATTATTTTAGGTATTTGAGAAGATTCAAGAAAATTAATCCAAAAGTTGTAAAATCTTGGTGCCGTCAAATCCTCAAAGGCCTTAGTTTTCTGCATTCTAGATCTCCTCCAATTATTCACCGTGATTTAAAATGTGATAATATATTCATCACTGGTACTACAGGTAGTGTGAAAATTGGTGATTTAGGATTGGCTACATTAAAAAATCGGAGTTTTGCAAAGAGTGTCATTGGTACACCAGAATTTATGGCACCAGAAATGTACGAAGAACATTATGATGAATCGGTTGATGTCTATGCATTTGGAATGTGTATGCTTGAAATGGCTACAAGTGAATATCCATATTCTGAATGTACAGGTCCAGCGCAGATATACAAACGTGTTGTTTCGGTAAATTTTTATAGATTCTTATATTACAAAAATTACAGTCTGTTTTTGTAAATTTTAGTCAGTTGTCATATTACTAAACTATATTTAAATATTCCTTATTTTCAAATATATATTTATATTTGAAAATTATATATATATATATATATATATATATATATATATATATATATATAATTATGAATGTATAATAAATAAATTATATCTAAGTAATTTTATTTATTCGACATAGGGTGTTAAACCACAGAGTTATGATAAGGTAGAAAATCCAGAAGTACGTGAAATTATCGAAATGTGCATTCGTTTGAAAAAAGAAGAACGACCTCTGGTTAAAGATCTTTTAAATCATGAATTTTTCGCGGATGATATTGGATTAAAATTGGAAATGGTGTCACGTGATTCAGCTGTAGCAGATGCTGAATTATCGCGTGTAGAATTCAGATTAAGAGTTTTGGATCCAAAAAAGCGGACAAATAAACATAAAGAAAATGAAGCAATTCAATTTGATTTCGACATTCAAACTGATAACGCGGAAGAAGTTGCCTCAGAAATGGCTAAATCGAGTCTTATATTAGAAGAAGATGCCAAAGCAGTAGCTAAAATGTTGAAATCACAGATAGCTGCTTTATTACGAGAAAGGGAGGAGCGACGTGCTAAAGAAGAAAAAGAACGTTTAGATAGAGAAGCTGATACAACTACTACATCTGCTGAAAATATTTTACAACAACAGTTAATATTACAGCAAATGCAATTACAACAACAACAGATTCAATCTGGTATGGGCATACCAATACAAGGTCAGGTACAAATGCAATTGCAACCAAATCAAATACCATTACAACAGCCACAATTGCAATCAACCTCTCAAGCAGGTCAACAGCATAGTTTACAACCTCAACAAGTACAGTTGGTTCAACAGCCTCTTCAACAACCACTTATGCAGCAACAGACATCAGTAGTTCAGCCTCAACAGGCTCAACAAATACAACAAGCAACACAAGCTGCACAACAAGTTCAATATCAACAACAACCACAATATCAGCAATTACCACAGCCATATCAACAACAACAGTTTTCACAACACGTTCCACAAAATTTGAGTGCGAATTCGCCACAATGCTCCACTCCTCAAAATGTTCAGGCCCAACCTCAGTTTCCTCCAGTAACACAACAAATACAACAACAGCAAATACAGCAACAACAACAAATACAGCAGCAGCAGCAAATACAACAGCAGCAGCAAATACAGCAGCAGCAGCATCAAATACAACAACAGCAGCAGCATCAAATACAGCAGCAGCAGCAGCAAATACAACAGCAGCAACAGCAGATACAACAGCAGCAGCAACAAATGCAACAACAACACATGCATCAACCTCAACAATATATTCAGTTAAATCAAATGAGTGTACCACAGCAATTAACACATCAGATTCAACAACAATTACAATCTCAAGTACAGATGTTGCCACAACAACAGCATATGCATCAACAAGTGCCACAGCCTCAGCAGCAAGTACAATATTCACAATCTCAAATGCAACATATTCAACAAGTACATCAACATCCAGTTGGTTCTCCACCAATTCAAAGTCAGCAATATTATCAACAAAATACAACTAGTAGTGCAGGATATACCAGTTCTGGTTTATATCAACAAAATATGCCACAACAAATATTTCACACATATACTACTTCTACTAATCCACCTGGCCATGTAGAAATTTTAGCATCTACTCAGACTGCGCAACAGATTTATTCACATACAAATATTTCTGGAAGCACTGCTCCTGCAACTTCTCAATCATATATACAGCAACCAACTGGACAAGTTCAGACACAAATACCATCAGGAATGAATATTCAAAGTTCAGTACCAGTAACTCACGTACAAAATGCTGCAACTTCTACAATGCCTAGTATTCAAAGTGCCCCTTCAATGCTCTCTAATACTGGTCATCAAGCGCAATCTCAACAAAATATAGTAGTGCAGTTACAATATTCGCAAAGTGGTACTGTTATGCCCACTTCTATGCCCATTTCTATGCCTACTTCTATACCTACTTCTATGCCTTTGACATCAGGAATAAGTGGTCCTATACAGACATCTGCTAGTGACAGATCATCTTTAACTAAACAAGATACTATGGAATCGGTACAATCTTTGCCATTGGATATACAATCTACTATACATCAAGAACAGTTAAATAATCAACAAATACCAATTGCTAATACAAATACTGTACCACAACAACCAGCAGTTTCAAGTGATGGGTAAATTCATATCTAATTCAAATAAATATATATGTTAACATATATGTATGCATGTTAATATATTATTCATGCTTTAGAGTTATTTCTGAAAGTTCAGAAAATGTTACAACTTCCGAAAGAAGTAGAGTTAAACGATCTGGTACTAAACGCAAGAAACCGGGTATCAAATTAACAGTCTTGTCAGTGAGTAGCGGAGAAGGACAATCTATGACTGTTGAGTGTCAGCTAGATACTAGTAAACAAAAAACTGTTACATTTAAATTTGACCGAGATGACATGGTACCTACTGATATTGCTAACAATTTGGTATGTGCATTTCAGAATATATTACAGAATGTAATCTGTAGTAGGTATAATAATAACGTATATATATATATTTTTTTTTTTTTTTTTATTATGCAGGCAGCTGAAAATTTGCTACCACAATCTCAGTGTGAAACGTTTATAGAATTAATTGAAGATATCGTGAAACAATTACGTTTAGATCCGACGCGTGCTTTACCTTTAGTAGCCCATGGTCCACCAGATCAATCTGCCGGTGGTAGTCCAGTTACAAGTCGTCGCCCAAGAGATCGAGACCACAGTCTTGATACAGCTAAGGTACTAAGATCTACCATAGTTTCTTCTTTTACTAGAAAATAATATATTTAATTTAGATCGTAAAAATGGAGTACTTTAATGAAATCTACAAACTATGAAATAGTTTCTTTGCAGATATTTACACTGCTTACAAGGTATTTAATTATAGAACATACGGTTCAATTACTTTATAAGTAATTATCATGTAGAAAATCACATGATAATTTAGTGATATAATTTTTATACATTACATTCATTTAATATAATATAAATTATAGAAAATAGGATAAAAGTCCTTAATTTGATAAAAGTAAAAATTCATTGCAACTAGCAATGAAAGTTAAATAAAGTAGCCATTGAGCGTGATGGTAATATGAACGATTAGGTGCAAAATATGTATGTTTTGGATATAATAGAAAGAGTGTACATATAATTGGTATATGTGGTTTTGGACGCAGCAGGTGAGACATGGCTCGCTAACTCGTCAAAGCAGTCACCGATCGTCGTACAAAGTCCATCGTAGGCACCGTTCGGTGAGTTCATCATCCCCGCCATTCCTTTTCCCATTTCCTGTATTTTGTTGTATATTCCTATTTATTTATGTATCCTTTCTCATTTTATCGAGCCATGAGTAACCAAAGTATCTATATATTTTTTATGTAAATTATAATGTATCAGTTCAATCATAATGGTTTTTTAATATCAACAGAGCACCTCATATCATCTGTACAATGGTATAATTAGGGAAGGAAAGGAAGAATATATATAGTATCAAATATATACGTGCGTATGTGCTGCGTGAATGTGTGTTGGTGATAGTTTAATTTATATATCTCCTATTTGTCATTCGTTACTAGTATATTATTTATAAGTAGATATATTATAAGATAAGATATATATATATATGTTTGTACATCGAAACTTCCTGAAAGCTTCTGAATATATTCATAAAAATGATATTATATTTTTTCAGAGAGACGAAACTTCAAACACTTCTACTCCTACAAAATTGTTGCCAATCGATCAAATAATTTCACATATTGCAAGTTCTTCTTTGGATAAGCAACAGAATGTTCCAACAACTGATAGCCAAGGGGTTACTGAATGCACATCAGCAGAAGCATCTAGACGATCATCTACATCTACTCAAAATACTGATACATTGACACCAACTAATATTCCAAGTGATCTTACTGATCCTCAAGAAAGTGGAATTTCTGTAACATCTGCAGATACAGTTTTGGAAGCGACTCATATCGTTCAAGAAGATATTAATACTTTTTCAATCGCTCAATTGCCAGCAGCATCCACTCAAAATCAAGTAGAAGATTTGAATGCTTCTACATCTCAAACAAATGATTTAACGAAGGATGATACATCAAAAGAAATTATAGATATTCAAGAAAAAGATCTGAGTAAGGATATAGCAACATCCGATGCAATTTCTATAGAAACGTCTACAATAACTGCTGCACCAATACGCAAGATATCTCGCTTCTTAGTTAGTCCTGTGGTTGAACAAAAACAACTTGCAAGTGAAACAGAAGCTTCTGGTATAACAGAAAATATAAATAATACTATGAAGGTAGATACTACAAAATCTGAAGAAACAGAAATAACTACTTCAGATACACAACCTATGACAGTAGAACAACCATCTAACGTTGATATAAATTTACCTAATCTACAACAGCCTGTAGATCAAATGGATAGTACTCAGCATACTTTACAACAACAATTTAATCAACAAACTGCTGGAGTTCAAAACATTTCTCAGATGGCAATACCAGGGCAATTACAACAAAATATAGGTGCTGTACAATCAAATCAACATGTTATAATGCCTAGTACCCCAATTATACAGCAAGTAACTCAACAGGTACATCAGTCGACTGTTCAAAATTTCACTGCAATATCACAAAAAGAAATGCAATCTCAACAAATACAAACGAGTGGTGGTTTAAATACGCAAACACAATATCAAAATCAATCCACTGTGCAATCAAATATTATAATACAACAACAACAAATTGCTGTGCAACAAAATGTAACTCAACAACATATGCAAACAGAACAAAATCAATTGCAATCTCAACGACCTGTACATCAATATTTACCACAACAACATCAACAATATGTGATACTTTCTGGACCTATACAACAATTGCAACAGTCCAATGTAGATGAAAGAAATCGTAGGATTTCTAATATTTCCACTACGTCTAATGTGTCAACAGAATCTCAAACTATCGAGGTAGCTAATATATCTGAAGATAAAAGATATTCTACAATGATGTCTAATACACCTATTCAACATGTACAACATGTACAAATTGGTCCACAAGATAGTTCTACTCCTATAGCACAAGGAGTTCAAGATCCTGGGCAACATCAAGCAATGCCTCAAAATATCGTACATGTTTCAGGAAATATACCTGTTCATATGCCAGTTCCTGTCACAGTGCCAGTTCATCCTATTGTTTCTACTGAATCTGCTCATAAAGTTGTGCTTAAACCAAAAGAGGTATCTTCTACACTTCCAGATTTAGCACAAAATTTAGCTAATATCTTATCTAATCCAAAATCAAAATCTGCTACACCACATGGCTTGAGTACTCATGAACCAAATATTAACACAGCTGCTGTTAATACAAATGTTATGGATTACAACAAACCTGCACTACAATCAGAACAATATTTCCAACCTATACAACCTGAAATAAGTCAATTGCCAATACAACCACAAACACAGCAAAATTTTCCAAACCAACCTATGCATCAAGTTCATCAAAACCTACAAAACGTTCAACAACCATTTCAAAGTCAGCAGTTACCTCATCAAAGTTCATCTTTTTTACCACAGGGAGCTCAGTTAAATGTTCCATTACAAACTGATTCTCAATTACAAATTCTGCAACAAAATGTATCAACTCATACAATGTCTTCTCAAACAAAATGGATTGGTTCTACAAACCAAAATATATTGCCTCAAAATCTGGCAATGCGAAATGTCCAACCTATACAAACTCAACCGCAGCTACAACAAATAGCACCTGTCCATCCACAAATGCAGCAAATACCTCAAGATCAAGTTCATGTAGAACCTGCTTCTATATCTGATCAATCTCATTTACATTTAAAACTTCCAGAACAACAGCAAATAGGAAAAATATTAGATACAGAAGTTCATGATAGCTCTAGTGGCTGTGGAATTAGACGTACGAGCTCTGATTGTCAGTTATTAACTTCGGAAAATGAAAATTCAAGTCACGATATAACTCCAGAACACACACTTGTAGAATCTGTAGATCCTACTTTATTTATGCAACAACAAATTATACAACCACAGCAGCAGCAACAGCAGTATCAACATCGTAAACTGAGTCAACAGAATTCATTGGATAAAGTATCAGATATAAGCAGTGTGGGAAGTACTAGTGGAACTGGGCCACAAACAATAGCAGATTTACATCAAAAACTTGTTCAAGTAACTAGTCAACCATCTGAATTATTAAATGTTGGCACACCACCTATAAGTTATCCAGCTACACCTCACAGTCATCAAGTAATGGGAGGATATGATGCATATATGCATTCTTTACAACAAAAGTTGGTTAATATTGGTATGCCAATATCATCCTCACAAAATATAGTACAGGTAATACATTACAAATTTGATAACTCTATTATTAATATTACATAATTATTTTTTAAATTAAAGGGTCCATTATCGCCTCAGACTACAATACATTCTACGAGTGCTGGTATTGATTCAAGTGTTGTGACAAATCCTGAAGGACCAATAACATATCAAGATGCTTCTTCTCAGCTTATATCTTCACAATCTGTAAGTTACATAAAAAATAAATAATGATTTTATAATTCTTTAAATATTATAATCTTATATTTTGTATTTAGCATGTGGAAGGCTCATTGGATAGTCCTATACCAGGAAGTCAAGGAGGACCTGAAAACATGAGTCCGAGTAAAGAAAATATAAAAGTACGAATTCAAAGACCAGGATCTCGCCTTCAGGAATTGGAACAAGAATTAGCAAAAATTCATCACAGAGGCCCAGTACTTCCAACAACTTCGCCTCAACCGTTAACACCTCCTGTACCTGTTATTAATCCTCCGTTGATACAACCAGCGTTGCAACAAACACAGAATTTATTAACAACAGTTCCATCAGTACCTGTTGCCACTGTTACACCAAATATTGTGCAGTCTCGCTCTGATACGAACACACCCGTACAAACAGAACTACAAGATTCTGTTTCTGAGGTATTTTATGTTTTCTAATATTTGTTTAAAGAAACATAATCGCGTATTGCGCGATATAATGCCATATAAAATACAAGAATACCATTTTTTACAATTAAAAATATATTATCTCGATGTTAACAGAAACCTGTAACACAACCTGTTAGAAAAATTTCAAGATTTATGGTATCTAAAGTAGCAGGACCTCCAAGCTCTGCTACATCAAATATACAGCAACAAGAAATTAAACCGTGTCATCCTGATGAACAACAAAGTAAGATATTCAACATGAATAATAATAATGCATCATTAAGATTTATTATATATATATATATATATATATATATATATATATATATATATATATATAATAAATATGCTCTAATTGTTATAGTAACGGCGGCAGCGTATATGGTACAGAATCGGGAAGGGTCCATGCCCCCATTACAAGCAACATTAACAAGTAATTCTCTACTTGCAGAGGTAATGATAATAACATTTGTGCGTAAAAAGATCATATTAATATTATTATATTTATAATGATAATATTAAAATTATATATTTATATGCAGTTACAATTAGAGAAAGAGGAACGGGTATCAACTTTAACACCAAGTGAAGAATATCAGTTACTTATAAAAAGGTATAAGTTTATAAAAAAATATTTATCGAAAAAGAAAATATATAACAAAAAAAGATTACAACAAATTTTATTATTTAGGCAAACTATGGAATTAGAAATACTCCAGCGAAGGCATCGAGAAGAATTAGAACGCTTTCAACAACAACAACTACAATTATTAATTCAGCAGCAACAACAAGCAAGTGCATTACACCATCAACATCATCCACTTCTTTATCACACCGTAGCTACTAATGCAGCGGCAGGTCAGTTATATCATAGTAAGAATTTAAACTAATATACATAATTAAAGTCTGTTGCAATATGTATGTAAATATATATATCTATATATTCTACATACTACAAATTTTTATAATTTATCCAAATATATAAGTATGTCTAAGAAAAAACAAGAAGATCTAAGGTATTATTTACAGCAAATTTTTAATATAAATTCTGAAAAAAATATTTATTTGAACTTTTCATTATATAATTTTTTATACCATAATTTTTAAAGAAGGGATATATCTATTTATGTAAATATAGGACAAGGAAGAGCACCAGGTGTAGATGATCATTTAACATTTAGCACAGCCCCACAAACTCCATTACAAAAAGGCATCAGCAATTGTCCAGATACTGATGAAACCTTAAGGTTAGCCATGCAGAAGCTTAAACAAACTCCACTTCAACTTCAACAGCAACAAACAGCAGCCAGCATACAACATGCTTATGTTATCCCAATTCCAGTAGTGCCTTCAGAAAGTATGCAGAATATTTCTGCACAACAGAATATCAACTATTCAAGCGAAACCTCTGATACATCTGATTCAGTAAATAATCCTGTGATTATAAATTCGAATCAATGTCAATTTACACCAATAATACCAGATGCAACAAACGTTACTTCTTCTGCAAGTGGAGCTTTAGTTGCACCAACACCAATATCAGGTTCTATTGGAAGTGGAGGATATGTTCAATATCATGAGGGTCCTTCGTTAGCAAACTTTCAAACATTCAGTTGCACGTCGCATGCTGGCTTCTTTTTACCAGCTGGATATCGTCTTATATATGCGCCTACTGGAACCCCTCAGTCTCAACCAGCGACCCCTGCCACTCCACAAATAGGAAGCTCACACGATGGTACGCCTCCTACAGAACCCCAGCATTGTTCTGAAAATATAACTATTCTTCCTCAAGCAGATCAATAACGCAATACACAATTCAAAATATTCTATACTTTCCAGTCAATTTTTCCACATAATACATTCTTTATTTAACGTTGAATATTACTATAAAATTATGTATTATTATAATTATCCTTTAATATGATATGCTCCAAACATGATTATATCGGTCATATATGAGGTGCACACATATGAAAGCATATATAGAATGTATAGAGCAAATTAATAATGCTGTCCCATTGAAAAAATTGGTCGGTATAAAATCAGTTACTCTATATAAATTTAAGGAACTCATTAGCTGATATTATACCGACTAGAGTTTAGTTAGGCAGCAATAATGATGCCCTTTGAGCTTGATGTGTTATGACATTTACGTATAAATGCATAGAAGATATTCTTGTTACCCGCGCACCAGCAAAACATTAATATTTGGTATGTGCCTCACGATTGAAGCAAGATTGAAATTAAATATTTCAAGGATATTTTGAACTGACGTAATAAGTTTCTGAATGGTAATATGAAAGCTGGGGATAGAGGCCTCTACATTGTATAACTGTGCTTCGATATTAAAAGCAAATCTTCCATTATTGGAATGCTTAAAGGACCTTAAATGCTCTCAATCCTTCAAATGGCACAGTCCATATTAGTACAGGCCTCAGCTAGTCTTACGATCGAAATGGCATGTAGCCATTCTGCTCGATTATATGTATAACTGTTAATGTATACTGAATGCTTCAGAAAAGGGAATGAAAAAAAGGAAGAGAGAGAGAGAGAGAGAGAGAGAGAGAGAGAGAGAGAGAGAGAGAGAGAGAGAGAGAGAGAGAGAGAGAGAGAGAGAGAGAGAGAAAGAGAGAGAAAGAGAGAGAAAGAGAGAAAGAGAGAGAAAGAGAGAGAGAGAGAGAGAGAGAGAGAGAGAGAGAGAAAGAGAGAGAGAGAAAGAGAGAAAGTAAGGAAGAGAGAACGTATGTTTACTTGTGTGTGTGATGTGTGAATGTGTCAGATGGAGGCAACAGAGAAAAAATATGATTAATATAGTCACTGTTATGCTTTAATGTATTTCTAGCGATTTTACCTATTTCAATTAAAGAGCAAGTGATGTGTTACTAGTTAGCAATCCTATATATCTTATCTACTTTTGAGTACTATTACCATCTTTTGCAATTAAGTATAATTGTGTTTAGTACCTTTTACTTTATCTATTATATCTTCAAGAATTTTATTAATAGTGAGATAAAGATTTCAAAAAGTATACAATCAGAAAACTGCATTTCAGGCAATTCAGTGACAGATGAGATAAAAGATCATATGAAATTCATCCAAATTTGTTCTATATTATAAAGATAAAAAATTTTTATTTTATGTTTTTTCATGATTTCTTGTCTCAAATGTCTATATAAACATAGTTGCTTATAAGATGAATCGCAAGATCATAAGTTTTGTTTGCTAAACTATGCATACAACCTGTTATTTTTAATAATTCTTCATTGCTTTAATCAACTTCTCATCATGCATTGCTTTGCGAAAATATGTGCTTAATAAAATTTATTGCAAAATTTTAAAATGAATAATAAGCACATGTGGTATATTTGATACTTCTGCATGATGCAGAATGATATTAAATTTATATGTTGTATAGTTATAAGAACTTTTTTAATAATCATATCAATTGCCTGGGAATGACAAAAATGCTATTGTTACTCTCACTCCTTTCTTTTGTTCTCATGCACTATTCCACTTGTTTTTTACTTTCAATTAATGGTAATTTTGTTACCTTATTCCTTTTGTACGCCAAAATATATGTTTTCTTAAACTAATTTAATGGTGATGGGATCCCTAATCATCTAGTAATGAAATTGCTTTAAATATGGTCGTTTCTCTGTTATGCATTTTACTTGAAAAATCTTTGGTGACATGGTTTAACGAGTATTCAAAGTGATTTTTAAATTTAAAATTTATTTGTGATGACTAAGATCAGGAAACATAATTTATAATCGTTTCTTTTTTATTTATTTATTTTTTTTTTTCTTTTTTTTTTTTTTTTTTTAAGATATCAGGGAAGGTATAACATTCAAAATATAATTCAATATATTTGATATGATACAATACATTTCTGTATAAAATCATAAGTTTATAAGACTTTTTATAAAACATTTTTTTGCCATTTTACCAAAGACGCCTATCATGAATATTAGGCAGTATATTGTATAATGATTTTGAATTCACAGTAACTACACTAGTCAACAAGGTTTTTTTAATTTGATTCAAGTAATAATGTCACGTTCTAGCGAATTCATTTTAAGAATTTTTATTTAACAGATTGAGAATTAAAGTTGCTTTCAATTTTAATTTGGAATGCAACTACTTGTGGAAGCAGCTGTTATATATTTTTTTTTATTCAATAGATATTGTTATATAACTAATACATTTTGGTATGAAAAGTGTGAATGTAATCATATTATATGGAGTGTGTGCCAAAGTGTCATTTTAAAAAGAAAATATTAACTTCGTATTAATTATATCGACAATTAATTAGTATAGTTGAATATTCATTCACTTTAACCTTAATTTTTTGTGTATTTTTATTTATTTTTATTTGTTTAAAAATTTTACTATTGATTTTACAGAATATTTTATCAAAAAATATAAATAATACGTTTATATACTCTTTAATTTTCTAATAAGAGAAAAACAGCCTACACACGATTAAAATAATTTCTTATATTTATAAAATCGTATTTTCATATTCAGAAAATGCGTTAAACTTATACCTCAGAAATAATAAGAATGGAAAATATTGTTGACTAGTGCTTCTTCCTAGTAGAATAATAATAATGTGGTATTGGACTTAATGGAATTGAGCTTGATAAAAGATGGTGTTAGATATCACAAAATAATTTTCAGAGACTGCCTGCAAAAATTAAATCAAGTAATAGTAAATATTTTCCTATATTCTGCAATTTGCATATAATACTATGTGGATAATAATAATATTCTGTACTGAGTTTAGTTTCTCAAATTTTTTTGAGCTAGACGCAATAAGACAAAGGAGTGAGACATTTATTAATTATTAGAAGATAATTTTTAAATGTGCATGAAAATAATGAAATTTTATTCAATAGAAATATATTATCTAATTATGTTATATGCAATATGTTATCTATTCAAAAATCTTGATAATTTTATTTAATACAGATAATTTAAAATATCGCTTAATATCAATCATTCAAAAGTTAGTCTATTTAATGTTTATTGTCAAATTTACATGTAAAAGTTTCTATATGTTAATAATCTTTTTCAATTATATAACGCAAAATTAGAATTTGGAAAAATTTTTACCCATCAATAAATATTTAAGAGAAGAGTTGCGCATAAGCAGATACATGCTAGGTTTAACTTGATTTCTTCACATTTCTACAGGAAATATAAATAGTTTTTTTTTATTTGGATTGAATTTTGCTAGCTTCGCTTGTAGTCCTATACCACAAAACCTGCTTTTGCTTAAATTATTGATTATTAACTTTAAAGAAAATAAAGAATTTATATATATAAACAGACATGATGATACATCAAAGTGTTATTGGAGAAGTCTTATGTATCATTCACACGTGTCATCTACATTTTACACATGACACTTATTGCTTTTTTCTTACTTATTTTAAGCTTACTCTGAAGTAAACAAGTTTTTAAGGAAAATAAAACTATATAAATTTTTTGTGCTAACTAGTATATGAATTCTTTCTAGTATATGAATTTAAGAAACAATTCTAGAATTATGTTTCTCAGAATTTCAAGAATAGAAACATAAAGACTGATTAGGTAAAACAAGGATCAGTAAGCAGATGAGTAAAAAAAAGAAAACATGAGAAATCAGTGTTGGAAATATTTTCATTTCTGCTAGTTCTTTATTTTATTGATACACACACATGTGTATATGTATTGGATTGTAATAATATTACACAAGATTAGAGTAAACATTTCAAAACATGATAAACTAGTAATTAATAATCTCTTGGTGTAAGAAATACTGATTCTCTTCCGTGAAAAACAGGCGGATCAACTTCCGTTTATATTATAATTTACGGTATTAGCGTAATGCATTGTAGATCTGCAAGAAAGTAATGAACATATTCATTAATCCATGAATGAAGATTATTTTTATGTTTAGATTGCATAATTCTTAGAAATATAAAAACTAAACTGATGAATGTGAATATTGAATTACATATGATTGACAGAATAAGAATTGCAGCAAATACATCTTTCAATTTAATGCAGTTTAAAACTTATGTAAATTTAATTTCAGTGATATTGCGTTGAATTTTACATATTGTTCTTAAGTGAGGAAATAAACCAAAAATATATAAAAGTCATCAACCCAAAAAGAATGAGGAATGTGAGAACACATGTAAAAAATATCATAAATGAAAAATATTAAAGCAAAATGTAGAGAAATACAGCTGTGAAAATGTGTTTTTAAATATTTCCTTACTCTTTTTGAAAGTGCCAGATTTTTGCAAGTTAGATAAGAAATACTTATCATTATTCGTCTATGTTATACGTTGATATCGATTTTTACAAATCTTTGCTCTAAACACATTTCAGAATTTCTAAACTTGAAAATGTGCAAATGATGATCCTTTTTGTCATATTTATCTCTTACTTGTGATAAAACAATATAATATATTAAAATATTGCAATATTTTAATATTTTTACATTTTAAAAGAGCTTCTTACATATTGCTCTCATTTTAGTGCAGTGTAGTACATCTGAAATCGCATTTCCAATCACTTAGGAAAATAAATAACGAAGTTACAATAACTTTGTTTTAGATCATAATATTTAATCGGATATAGAAGGTGTTAGAACAAATAAGCTTTGGTTTCTTTTATAAAGCTGTTGCAAGTTTTATTAATTGCAGTTTATACTTTCTTTTTATTGATAGCTTATAGTATTACAAAATCTACATAAAAAAAATGTGATTTAGTTAATATGTTCTTTACTGAAATAATGTTGATATTTTGAAATTATAACCTATGACAAAATTTTAAACGCTTTATTAATTTCATCAATATTATTCATTTATTTTTAATTTGTTAATATATAGTATATATTTGATCATTAGTAATTACAAATTATATTCTGTAACATGCAGTAATTATAGTTTAATATGCTATTCAATGATTGATATTACTTTGAATAGACAAAGGAACCCCTGACAATTATTTTTTACTTTATTGCGTTCCTATTGATTTGATCCATGTCTGTTTTATTACATGCTCATAATGTTTGTACTATGATAAAGAAAATACAGAAACAAGAAATAGTTATTATAATATCATAATAAGTGCATTCTTTTGCACATGTACGGTAAATAAGAAAAAATGTCTGTGCTAAAGGATCAAAGTCAAAGCAGTTGTAACCTTGATGAGGAAAGTAAATAAATGAATAAAGAAAATGATTACAAAACAAATATTTTTTACATTCTCTTATACATTGTACAATATTTTCTGCTACTACTATTCCAAAAATCAATTTTCCAATATAATCGAATAATTAAGCACTTATCATTTTATAATAATTTTCAATATTTTCTTGATACTTGTTTTAATATATATATATATATATACAATGTGATCTTCCTTTTAAACATTTCTAATATAGAATCCTGTATAGTTTTAAATATTTCTTATATCCTGCAATTTAATAAAGCTCATCATTATTTGTACATTGCGATATGCTATTAATCAATATATCCTCTCTCATGTAAATACAATTAAATCTATTGTTCTAGAATGATATATTTGTTCAATGAAAAATATATATAAATAATTATTGATATAAAAATAAGAAATTCTGTTAAGTTTATAATAGTAGGTACTTCTTAAAGACACACACACTCTCATATTTATTCTAAATATATTCATATTCTTATTGCTTACCATAAATTTTACTTAAATATCTTTTCCATGATCACAAAGATTCAAAATGATTTCGTCGTCTTGCATAAGCTCCCATGCAAGCAAAAAATCCCATAATTCCAATAATCAGACCCAAGATTAATGCTAATGTATCACCAAAATCAAAACTACCTGATGCTGAAGCTAAGTGAAATAGGGCAAATATCGAAAGTAAAAACGGCCACATGTTTTTATATAAAATAAAATACGTATCGTAGAACGAGAAATAAAATAACAATGACTCTTTACTTTCTACGAAAAAATGATTAACGACGTAGATTCACATTCAATAACAATGACATACGATAAGATCGCTTCTACAATACCACATTCTAATAATAAAACTTGAATTTATTTCTTTTTTTATTATAAATACAATTTACATATTATTATTACGTTTATTTATTATAAATAAATATATATTTATTAATTGAAATAACAGCTAAGAGTATAATATTAACAAAATATATATACGTATGTATGTATGTATGTATGTATGTATGCATGTATGTATGTATGTATGTATATATATATATTTTTTTTGTTTATTTATTATTCCTCGACTTCACATTACTAATACACATAAATATTTTTAATATTAATTTCAATAAATATTAAAACAAAATAGAAAAAAAAAACAATTTCTATATATCTCATTTTTAATAAAATGTTTAATCATTTTAATAAAATGTTCAATATTTTAATTCTACCAATCACGTAATATATTCATTTTGATTTGTAATAAAATTAAAAGACAAATGTATTGTTTTCTTTTCATTGCTTTTGTTATTATCATTATCATTACAATTATTTATAAAAATAAAATGGTGTAATTTTTATGTCAAATAAAATAATTTTTTATTTGCACCAATGATTATCGATATATATTCCGTTCGTTCTGTTTCATTATTTTCCTGCATTTTGATTCGCCGCTTCAATTTTGTCTAATGATAGTATCGTTTCATTTATTAACTAACAATTGTTATGAATTAATATAAATATATTATAAAAATGAAAATATATATAATTTTTGTATATATAAAAAATGAAATATAAAAAAAATAAATAACAATACGTTAATTATAAGTGATAGTTAAGTAAGTTTAAGAAATGTCCAATGTAAATCAGACATTAATATCGATAAATGATAAATCGTTATCAAAAATATAAAAAGATTAAGATTAATAAAATATCATTAAAATTATTATTTGTAAAATTGTAAATATTTGATTTTTCTAATGAATTTTATTTATTTTAAGTTTTATTATAGATCTCTGTCGGGATTTAATAGTTTTGTGGAAACAATGGAAACTTCGCTTTAGTAGGCCTTAAGGTGGCGTCACTTACTCGACGAAGAATAATTCTAGCGGGGGTAGACAGGTGCGTATCGACCGAGCAAAAACATTTTCATATTGTCAATTAATATATTTTTGGAACTATCGGAGGTATAGTAAATTCATTAGTATAACGTTTAAATTATTCTAAGATCGTGTGTTTCTTCTTTTATTTGAGGATCATCAGGTTTCATCTTTGTACGGTGAGCAATCCTTATTATTTCGTGGCCATTTTGCTATCCGTTGATAAATGCTTAGCATTTTCGTACCGACAGGTGAACCACGAATTAGTTGCAGTGTATAAAATTCAAGTGCGTATTCTCTAGCTCGCTTTATATTATTCTCTCTTGAGAATTGAATTTTCAATATGAGGGATAGAAATCATAACAAATGTTCAATCCTGAGAAAATTTGATGACCGTATTTTCTACATGAGGCATAAAGAGTTAATAAATCATTACTTTTCTCTTAACATCTATTAAAGTGTTCTGTCTTGTCTTCTTACATTTTATCTTCATTTATTTACCAACAAAGAACAATTTTTCTTAAATATCGCAATGGATAAAGCGTATTTCATTTTAAATTGTATATTAAATTGGATTCCAATTTTATACAAATAAAGTTTTAACATATAATATGTCTTTCAATAATTTTCAGTTTAACGTTTTTCATACAAAAATATAAAAATATATCCGAAAATATATATTTTTATATTTCTGTATTATGTTTTATATTAGTATGATATTTTGGTCAAATTAATCTTTCATTCATAAGAGGCATATATATATATATATTAGAATAATAATTAATAGATTAGTCTAATATGTTATATTTAAAAAAAAAAATGTATATTTTTGAATAAAGATATCAGATAATAATATTACTGATATGATGTCTTTTTTATTATTTATATAAATATGCTATATATAAATATTTTTTTTTGTAATTCTTATTTGCTATTCATTTTACGAAAAGTAGACACTAAGTATTAAGCTTTTATAATGACACATATATATAGAAACAAAAAAACATCAAAAAAAGTATGTGTAACAATAATAGTTTATAATAAATGTTATCTTTGTATTCCACTTTACATTGAACTTCAAATACTGTATTAATTTTCTATCATTAAAAAATGATGATATACCATAACAGGTTTAGATATTAGTTACATTTAATCTAATTACATTTTTTTAATAATATATTTATATGTTAAATAACCTCAATATATGTTTTTTTTTAATAATTTCAGCTTCATCCTTCATTTATACAAAAGGAAATGGAAATATCACCTGGATTGTTGGAAGTTATGGATATTGTCGATGAGAAGGATGTAATTGAATTAATCAAACATGCTGTTGCTGAAGAGATTATATTTAAGCCTGATTCCACTGATGATTCTGAGACGGAAATAGAAGAAATTATAGAAATAATTGAAGAAATAGATGAATCAAAAGACTTATTACCAGATTATTCTAAAACTGAAGATTTAGTCAAGGAAATTAAAATATCTGATAATACAAATTTTGAAGAGAATTTACAGAATCAACAATGTGATAGAAATTCTGGAATAGAGGAGGTATATATATCTGACGAAGAAAATGTAATGTTTAAAATAGAAAATGATAAAGTTCCTAAATCTTTGTATAATGAGCAACAAAAATCTAATAATAAAGTTATAACATATGATGCGGACGAAGATTGGCAAGACGAAGACATTGAACATTTAGAAGAAATAGATGAAGTAATGAATCATGAGTCAGACTCACATACAGAATCATCACAAAATTATAACTTTTTACATGAAAATGAAAGGTCTGGAGGAAACCAAGGAAAAAATTTTCCTTTACAAAGTCATAAAACAGATATTAGGAATATTATAGAATCCACTACAAAAGTAGATAAATCTCAATTGAATAAAGGTTATGGCAATGATATGCATAATATCAAAAATATTGATAATAATTTCACCCATGAAGTTATTAAAAATACTGAAAATAATTTGATATATACTGTACTTGGTTCAAGAAAACCAACGAAACAGTTGGAAGAAAAAAAATATACCGATGCACATTACATAAAGGTTTGTACAATTTATTCAAATCATAATGATAGATATGAACTATTGTGATAATTGAATATTATTTCAGATGGAACAATTAAGTGAAAATACAATTCCAGTTGAAGGAACAATTTATTATGAAGGTGAAAATATGGAAACGTTATATGTTGCTCAAGCAGTCAATGAACATGAACAATATCAGTATGATGCAGTTCCAATTGAGCAAAATGAACAAACATGGGATACAGCAAATGAAGATAGAAATTCTGAGAATGATGTTAATCAATACCAAGAAGAAGAAAATTCTCAGGTTGAGCTCAATGAAATTCAAAGAAAAAATTATTATATAATTAATTTATATATTTTTTTAATATTTCTATTTTATGATCTACATCATAGGATCAAATCTTTTTACATGAGGACGAAGATGGTCAGTTATATTTTAAAGATGATCATGGAGAATTGCAACCAGTTTATTTAACAGAAGATGGAAATTATGCTATTGCTGATAACAGTGATGATCAAGATAGTAAAGAATCACACAATCAAATGCAACAAAATAATAGAATCTCTGAAGAAGCATCTATGGATTTAACAGAATCTAAAGCTATTATTCCAAAGAATAAACAGGTATGTATTGTATCTACAAGTAACATATTATTGAATTTAAGGTTTAATAAAATTCTTCTTATCTTTCAGAATACTGTTTCTTCATCTTCTACAATTCAAGATCTTGATAATGAAGATAATACAGTAACAATTTCCTTAATAATTTCGGAAGATGAACATGGACAAAAAAGGACACAAGTTATAATACCTACAACAGATAACATGAAATGTGATATTTGCAATAAAAGTTTTAAAACATCGTTTCAACTTTTAAGACATAATAGATTAAAGCATGCTCGAGAAGAAGATATTACAACAAGAAATTTTCCTTGTGATTTATGTCCTAAAAGGTAAACTTTTTTATTTATTGAATTTTCATCTAATATTGATATTATTATTAGTTAATGCAAAAATTAATTAATTTATTATTTTTCTTAATAACAATACATAGGTATCCAGATCAAAATTCTTTGGCACGTCATAGAAAGACTCATACTGGTGATCGACCATTTCAATGTCTTGAATGTCATAAAACTTTCCCTACTTCTACTGCATTACGTCGGCATTTAACTCTGCACAATTCACAATCTCGGCCACTTCCTTGTATTTATTGTGGTCGTCGTTTTGTAGAGAAAGCTAGCTTAATGAAACATGAACAGTCACATCTACCCAATGATCAAAGAACACATACATGTGACGTGTGTCAGAAAACGTTTTTACATGCGACAGATTTAAGTTTACACAAAAAATATCATGATCCCGATAAAAAGTTTGACTGTGAAGTATGCGGTAGAGAATTTAATAGACTGAATAATTTACAAAGGCATATGATGGTACATCAACAGGTAAGTAATTTTGCTTGAAACAACTTTTTTTTTTTTTTTTTATGAAAACAGCACTTGTAAGTGCTTTAAAATTACAATTCTTTTTTTTTCACCGCCTTGAAAATACCAGCAAGGGGCAAATGAAGAAATCTTATCTTGTGACGTATGTGGAATCACGTATAAATTTATGAGCTCCTTGACGAGACATATGGTAACAACACATATGAATCCTGAAAAATTAAGACAACAAGCAGAAGAGCAACGGAGGAAGCGTGAAAATAATTATCGACGTTATTTGGAAAATAGAAAAATGTATGAAACACAACATACGGGTGGATATATTTCGAAACGTAATTATCATCATAACGCACGTATGCTTAGCGGAAATAACGAAGAAGTGGCTTGACTTCAATTTTTAATAGTACATTGAACGTATGAATGAAGTTTAAAATTTATTACTATTATTAAAATAATTATGTTTATTACGCACGAGTAGAGTTATGAATAAATTCATTCATTTCTTAATCATTTCACAATCTAATTCATACCTCTCAGGCAATGTATTAGTAATATGATCATTATTGGAAGATGTATTTGAGAGTTTTATTATTTATCTCATGCAACCCATTCTTAATTTTTGACTCATTTTATTAATAATTCGACAATATGCATTTAATTTATCAAACACATAATAAATGTTAGGTTTAAGATATTGTCAAGAATATCTATAATATCTATGGGTATAAATATATATATATATAGGTATAAATAAATAAATATATATATATGTATATACATATATATATATAAATAGTATAAAGTAATACAATATAGTCATTGTAGAATAATGACTGAATAAATAAATATGTGATAAGAATATATAATTTTCTTTATTTCTGTATTAACTTTATATATATATTTGTTTTATATTCATTGATTTAATACCTACTTTATATCGAATTCCATGTATTATCAGTATTTATAGTTATGCATGTATGCAACCATTACACACGATGAAATTAAAGAAAAGGACGATACATTTTTTTTGTCGTCATCTTTATTCTTTGTGTATATTTATATATCTTGAATATCTAATATGCAAATAATTATAGTGGTAAAAAAGTATTTTATATAAAAAAATATTTATTATCATTACACATTGTATAACAATAGTATTACACTTTATCTCATTTTAAATAAACTATTCTTTCAATTACTTTTTATATTTATGTAAAATGTGTATAACAATATAGTATATTTTATTTCTTATTAATAATTATGTATTATACAAATAATTGGTAACAATCAGGTCTGCATAATTTTTCAATTAAATATGCTGTTGTATAAACAATTATATGAATTATAAATATTTGTTATATTGTTATTGATAAATAGTAAATTATTCTATGCATATGTATTGTTTAAATATATACATATATAATGTTTAAATAAATGTAAAATAATCAAAAGAATTAATTATATATGTATATATATATATATATATATATATATATATATATATATATGATGATATATACATATATATATATATATGAGAAAACGCAGACTGTAATGAAACTACTGTATTAACTCATAGAAATTCAATGAAATTAATTCTTTGCCATCGGTCTCATCGTCCCTGTTATTTATATATAACGATTAATGCAACACATACTAACGAGTTTGATATGTTTTCCTTTATATTATATATCTTATATTTGACTTGTGATACCGTAATTGAACGAGGATCAAGGATCTCTGTGAGATTCATTCATCGCTAAGGATCAATCAGTAGCAAGTACTATTTAGAGAATTAACGTAAAATATAGCAATTAATTTTGTTTTTATAATAGAAATGTTATACGTTCTCTTATTTATTTGAAATTTATTAGTGTTGAATTTTTATCATTACTTAACAAACTTGTCGTATTTATTAAGATATATTTGTTAAAAATGTAATATAATAAAATTTGTCTTAAATTTAATTAACTCAATACTTTATATTTTTACATAAAATACATTAAATATACTTTAATTGGATGAAGTATTACCTTGTACCGTTCAATCGAATCTTCTTCTAACACATCTAGAAGAAAACACTGATTATAAAACTTAAGACTGGCCACACACACAGTTTTCATACTAAGTAATACTAAGATTTCGATCAATCGCATTGTTCGATAGTAGGCAATGTAGAGATCGAAAAATTCAAGATGGAATCCTACTGTCACGATTTTTATAGATAGCCAATCAGATTGCGAGATTGTCTGACATCAGAATTTAGCAAAATAAACGAAGTATCTATAAACCAACTGTATCACTCATAGGAATTATTTAGTTAAATATTGGATTGAAATCTTATCTTATGGTGAAAATAAAATTGTAAAATGTATCATTCGTACGATAAAATGTAATACAGATTCTTAAGAGTCACAAGATATGAATATTCCTATGACAGATTTCAATCATTTTTATGGTCACGGAGCTTTCCAATTTTTTTTCTTTATAAATGGTTTAATTAATTCTAACAATAAATATAAAATGTTTATATCATTTCAAAAAATCTACAGTGGCTCCATCATTTGTTTTTGAACGGCAAATGTCATGATGGCTTTCTTATATCTATTCGACTATTGAGCATTTTGAATCGAAACAAACTTTTAAAAAAGGTCCTGTGATAAATGTTAATTTGATTAATAAGGATTTATTAAACAATTCAATCAAATATGGAGAACGAAAAGAGTACTATGCTTGCTGTTTTACAACTTCTTAGGAAATATAATTTAAAGGTAAATTAATGATTTATGAGAATTAGTAAATATAACCTCAATGTTTGTATAAATATTTATGATGATATTAATATTGGTTTATATCTCTTATATTCTTTCATTTAGGAAACTGTAGAATTATTCAGGAAAGAAGCAAATCTTACAGATGTATCCACAGATGAAACTCAACAAACAGATTCAGAAGTAAGCAGTGTTCTGTCAGCTTATAAAAGTGAAGGTGATCCTGCTTTATACGAAAAGGCATATAGTGAATTAAAGAAATTTGTAGAAAGTTCTTTAGACATTTACAAGGTAAAATAGTAGATCCAAAAAATCATAAATCTTAATATTTTCTATCAGAAGTATTCATTTTCTTTATCAATGATCAGCATGAGTTAGGTACGATATTATATCCAGTATTGGTACATATGTATCTAGAACTAGTATACAATAATCATTCTGAAGAGGCAAAACAATTAATAGAAAAATTTGGAGGAAATTTAGAAGAATATTATCAATCTGATTTAAAAAAACTTTCAAATGTCACAAGACGTGAACAAATGGCGGGAAATGAATTGACAGACACATTTAAGTATGTACTTTAATTTGTGATATCTATATATATATGTTAACAAGTAATAGTTTCTTTGACAAATTGTTATAGATCCAATCAATTTATTATAAGAATGTCAAGAGATACTTTATCGATATTAAAACGACATTTGCAAGAAAAAAAGCATAGTGTATTGTTGAATATTATACAAGAACATTTATATTTTGATATGTATGAAGGAGTTGCTCGTAATAAACAACAAATTGAAGCTACTTCTGGTGCTGTAGTGGGCGAAGCAACAAGACAAGGTATTGTATATCTTTTCAAGAAATTAGCATTGAAAGGCATTTGATGAGATAAAAAATATTTATGAGTTATATTTTTCATAGATAATAAAGCAAAGGTTTATTATGGTCTTCTAAAGGAACCGGATATTCAATGTGTTCCACCAGCTGAAGAAGAGGAGGATGATGTAGCTGGTGCAGATGGTGATAAACCAAAAAAAAAGAAGGCTAAAAAAGATCCATTGTTTTCAAAGAAAACAAAATCAGATCCAAATGCACCACCTGTGGGCAGAATGCCATTACCCAACTTGTAAGTTAAATATTTTTTATATGTTAGGTTAATTTGTTTTAATTTCATATTATTATTTTTATCATTTTAATATAGAAAGGATGTAGATAAGTTAGAAAAGGTTAAAGCATTGAGAGAAGCATCTAAGAGAGTTGTTCTTGGTCCTGACACATTACCTTCTATTTGTTTTTACACATTACTTAATACTGTACATAGGTAAGTATATCTATGTATCAATACCTTTTTATAATTTTTTAATTAATAAATATATTTAAAATTCTACTTAGTGTAACTGCAGCAGAAGTAGCAGAAGATTCGAGCTTATTAGCTGTTGGGTTTAGTGATTCTGCCATTAAAGTATGGAGTTTAGTTCCGCAAAAATTAAGACTGATGAAATCTGGTGAACAATTGCAAGATATTGATAGAGAAGCAGGTATATTTATTAGATATTTATTACGTCTATATCTTTTATTTGGATATATATATATATATATATATATATATATATACATATATAATGTTCTGCAATTGTGATATAGATGATGTATTAGTCAGAATGATGGATGATAGGACAGCAGAAACATCAAGATCATTATATGGACATAATGGACCAATATATAATCTTTCTTTTAGCCCAGATAGGAATCTTTTACTTTCATGTTCTGAAGATGCTACAGGTAAACTAATTATTAACTTTTTTTACATATTTCTCTTTTTATCAATTTTACAAAGATTTTATTTAATGAATTACAGTAAGATTATGGTCACTTCATACATGGACGTGCGTAGTTTGTTACAAAGGTCATTTATTTCCAGTATGGTGTATAAGATTTTCACCTCATGGTTATTATTTTGCAACAGCCTCTCATGATAAAACAGCTAGACTTTGGGTGACCGATTGTCATCAACCTCTTAGAATATTTGCTGGTCATTACTCTGATGTTGATGTAAGTTTTATTATAAGAAAGTGTCATTGCCAATTACATTAAACATTAAATTTTAACATTTTTAAATGCAAATTAACATCTGTTTTATAGGTAGTACAGTTTCATCCTAATTCAAATTACATTGCAACCGGTTCTAGCGATATGACCGTGAGATTATGGGATTGCGTAACCGGTAGTCAAGTAAGATTAATGACAGGTCATAAAGGTCCAATATATTCTCTTGCATTTTCGGCTGAAGGTCGATTCTTAGCTTCAGCTGGTGCTGATTGTCGCGTGCTTGTGTGGGATTTGGCACATGGTCATCTTGTTGCTGCTTTATCTAGTCATACAAGTACCATACACTGTTTATCCTTCAGTAGAGATGGAAATATATTAGTTTCAGGTAAGATCGTTTTACCATTTCCAATGACTCTTAAAGTTTTCTCTCAAGTCATTAAATTAATATATCTCCATTTTATAGGGTCATTAGATTGTACTATTATATTATGGGATTTTACGAAGTTAGCAGAAGAAATGAGTTTGGAAGATGTTAATGTTTCGCATAATCCTGATGTAAAGACCAACGCTGAAACATATTTATTGCGAACGTTTCCAACGAAAAATTCTCCAGTTTTGACCTTACATTTTTCTCGAAGAAATTTACTTTTAGGAGTTGGAATGTACGATTCTATGTGACCCCTTTTGACATCCTCTCCTATCCTTGTTCATTCAATGTATTAAATCTAAATGCACAAATGCATCATCATTGTAATATAACAATCATCGTTAATAAAATTTTCTACATTTTATTATTTCATGCTGCCCGCATTAACAAACATGATGCATTTCGATCGATACTCGAGAAATGTCTGTATTGCTTTGCACCAGTCTGCGCTCGTACTGCAGTTGAAAGTGTGTTTGAGATTACGGTTATAGAGGGCTCCTCGAGATCCCTTCGAAAGCATATACTGTTGTATATCCATGAAAAGGAGCAAGAAAACTATTATGTCGAGCAGATTTGAAAGTGAAATGTTCGTAGCCTGCGCCGAGTAGTTTCCTGTCTGTCTAGTTTTTATTTGGGCGTGTCTCTGGTGAAAGTACACTGTGCATTTGACTATCCGAACGATGGGTGACAATAGTGTAAGGTTAGGTAAGTTTACGATCGGTTTAGTTTCACATATTAAATGACTTATTTGTCCTTTTTCGTTGATTTTAATATTGAAATTTTTTCGTACTTAGAACATTATGAAATGCTAAAGGCATTATATGATTTCGATGCCACCTTCGCTAAAACTCTCAGCTTTCGTGAAGGGGATCATTTTATATTCCATCAGAGTAATACAAAGCAAAGAAATTGGTGGCAAGTAGTGAATAATAAGGCTCAGGTTGGATATATTCCATCTAATTATGTCACTACCGTAAAGGTATGTCAAGTCTTTCGAATGTTCTATCAAATTCTTCATTATATCAACCGCTGATCATCAGGTACAGGCACAATTTTTCATCGACTTTCTGGATGGATCTATACTAATTCTACAATCGGAAAGTAATAAAAGCGGTGATACTCATAAACAAGATCTATTATCCGACTTGCTGACAAGAAGAAAACAAATAGCGTTAAATAAGAAACAACAAGCACCGAGTCAGAAAAAACAAGCACCAATGCCTCCTGATTTTGGAAATACTACTCCAACCAAAGAAACTATTGCTTCTACATGTCCTAATTCAGAGGTAGATGTCAGACATATACAAAGTAATACTTCTTATGTAACAGCACAAACGACTCTTCATGGTAATTTGGATCAAGGAGAAGTATATAATACACAGTGTCGACGCCAGTCTGGAACTGAACAACGTAGACAGTCCTTTCCTCGTCAGTCTAGTTCAGAGACAGTTCAAAAAGCTTATCCTACGACGCCGGAAATACGTAAGAGTCCTTCGCAGATTAGTGCACGAACGTCTCCTAATGGTTCGCCTATAAAAACTAATTCCATGTGTAATATAAATTCCAAAACGGCTTATCAATTACTCGACAAAGTTCGTCGAAATACTCAATTAAGTTATGAAATGTCTAAAGTGGCAGTCATAGTTGTTGTATCTGACTTACAACATCTGTTACCTGAAAGTGTAAATCACTATTTTGAAGCATTATTGCAACAATTAGAAACACCGCTAACAGTATCAAAAATGAATATCGAAGAAACTTATGATGCAAGTAGACTCAAAATCATTTTCACTGAACTCACTTCTTGCAAAGAAGATTCTCAACAAAGAAATTGGATGCTTTATGAGGATGAATCTGTTATAGTAGAAAACATTACTGAGCTTACATCTATACTGGTATTATCTTTGTACATAAAATTTGTTGAAACATTTTAAATTGATAATAAAATATATATTCATATATTGCTCTTCCTATCGTAGACAAATGCAGATGCAAATGTTTCAAGATACATTTTAAAACAAGATCAATACAATGGCGTTAACGTATTAATTCAGTATTATCAAATGGAGCCTAGATGGACTATAAGACAATTACTGTTGCAATCATTTGGTGTAATGTGTAGTTTAGATTCTATCATTTTAACTATTATGTTAAACAGCATATTACCAATGGAATTAGCAAGGTAACATAGTTTTGCATAATTTAATATTACATATGCAAAACCAGAAAGTTTCTTTTCTAACTTTGTTTAGAGATATGAGGAGTAATCCAAGAAATGTACAGAAATTAAATTATTCTTCATTGCTACTTAGTATGATTTTTTCAATGGGTGAACCAATGCCAGTTACACATTGGGGTGAGTAAAGTAGGTAGTACGTTACATCTAGAACATTAATTTATACATTTGTTTTTTACGATTATCGCATTACGAAAATGATTGCAGAACAACTAGGATCTGATTTTGTCTCGTTCCTCTTGGATTTGATAGAAAACCCACCAGACTCTGATTTGGAAGATCAAATTCCTGATTTATTCGTCAATTTAATATTATCCTATAATTTGCAATTTACGAATTCGGAAAATCCATTAATAAGTGCATTAAAAGAAAGGACAGTAGCAAAAATTTTCACTGAAAAAATCCTCTTTCTTTTTAACAGAGAAGGTAAATTATTTTTGTCGATTTTTATAAAGGAAAAGATGGAAAGCTATTTTTTTTGTAATATAATATACCGCAGAGGATCCAGTAAGAATATTTGATCATGAACCACAACCTCCTCATTCCGTATTGAAATTGTTTATCGATCTGTTTAATAACGACTATACAGCAGGTCTTTTCTATACTAACGACGTGAAAGTCTTAATTGAAATTATTTTGAGGCAACTTTTCGATATGTATCCTGGCGATAAGGTAAAGATTTTCATAAAGTTTATACTATATCTATATTGAAATTTATTAAATAATGAATTAACCTTATATTATAATTATTCTCTATATAGCGTAGACAATATTTAGAATTGTGTCGTAGAGTATTACGTACTTCAAATTATAATGAACATCGGCATCAATCCGAAGATCTTTTAAAATGTTTTACAAGGTAAAAAGAGATATATATGATGATTTATATAATGAATGATTTATATAATTTCTATTACTTTATACACGTAGGATATTTTGCGAGGAAACGACTGAGAGTCAAGAGGACCAACGATTGGTACGTGAAATTAGCAATGAATTTCCACATTTATTTAAAATGTGACCTTTACTTTCATCCTCCGATAATAAAGACTTGGAGGAAGATGATTTACAAACTCTCGTATAAAGCACAAAACTTGAAAGTAGGACTAGGCAGATATTTACTCGACTTTCTGGTGAGAAATCTTTCTTATTTTTTATAACTCGTCTTCTCTAATATACATATATTATATATTTTTTTCGCTCGAAAAAAAAATCACTATATCAATGATAAGATGCACACTATATGAAAGATATTCTATTTGCCGAGTTGATGTCATTTCTTAGATTAATACCCTCGGTAGAAAAAGTGTTACCTGCTAATAGTGACAGATATGTGATTACATGTTACCAAAATGAAGAAAATTATCGTACATATGTGTCGAATGTATGTACGTGTATCTACCTATATATATCATATGTTTAGTGTTATTCGAGAGAAATTTCTCATTCCAAATACGAGGACCATGACCATATATTATCGTCCTATTTTACCCTTTGGTATTTAAATATGAGTTGAGACAATTTAAAAGCAGTTAGATGTAATAATGATCCTATCGCGAAAGATAATTTGCGAATTCGTTGCATTTTTGGAACTTTTAAAGATATTAAGAAAAAAAAAGACAAACAATTTAGTCTTACAAATAGTTATATATCTTCGTGTTAAGCATAATCTAGTCGAAGACTACATATATATATGTATACACATATATATATATATATATATATATATATATATATATATATATCAGAATAGAACTTTATCATCACATTTCTTACCTTTACGTGCTATATTCTTTGGCAGAATCTATTTCTGATAGAATCGAAACATTTAAAATGCAAGTTTACGTGAAAATGCCTTTGTGCCACTTACAGTTATCGAATTTCCTAGTCTATCGCTAGTAACTATATTTTTTTAAAAGTATAGTAGTACGTTATGTTTACACGACTATTAGACAAATTAAATTAAGTGAGTCAATTGCAATAAAAAAAAAAAAATGCTACTAATGATATTATAATTACCATCAAATGTTGAAAGAATAAAAACGTTTAGGAGATGTCTATATATCTATCTAAAATCCTGTCCTATCTTTTTCTAATATTAGAAATAAAAGATAAAGGATATCACACGTTTTTTTTCCCCAATGTGTTTTTATTAACAACAATAAATACTGTTTATGGAAAATATAGCAGGCATGACGTCAGTAATTTTATCAAACGCACAAAATATATGTAAATCTGCTGTAGTAAACATAAACGCTTTACACATGTATAAGCATTATTTAACAGCAGATTCTCCTTTCAACTTTCGTCTCTAAATATTATTATGGTGACACTATGTGTTCCACGTTTACTCCATCGAACATTTAGATATATATGAGTAATTGTTTATAGCTTTGTGTGATTTGATAAACGCATGGCGTATTTTTTTTTCTTTTTTTATCTTTTTTTTCTTTTTTTTTTTTTTTTTTTTTTTTTTTTAAATAAAAAGAAAACAAAAAATTCACAGCAGCTCATGCTACCGGATACTTTGGCCAAGATTATTCTCCGGTCATCATTTCCATAAATTCTGAAACAAAAAAGAATAAAATTTATTTAATCAATCAAAATAATAATTTACTTAGATAAAATAGAACTTTCAGTAAGATAATAAATAACTTATGCAGCTGTTTCTATGTATCACAAAATTGAAAGAAGAACATGAAATGCCAAGTCCTTGATACTGAACTTGGAACACGAATATATACTGACTTCCGTCATTTTCCAAAATTCGATGATTTCTGAAAATTTCTCTTGGAATCAATACGTGCCAAATCTATAGATAACTAAATTCTTCTTATTAATCAAAAAATATTGTGAACGTACGTACCATCGAAATCTACGGTTCCTGAACCATCAGAATCAATTTCTTCGATCATTATATCCAATTCCTCGTCCGTTAGTTGATCATCGAGTTCTCTTAAAATTTCACGCAAGCAGGTGGTCGGGATATATCCATTACCTGTTATAAAAATGATGAATATAATATGGAACAATGTTTTGAATTATCATTTTTATTCAAATTTTGATTTAAATTTTCCTCTTTCTCTCTCTCTCTCTCTCTCTTTTCTTTATGTTTTTTCTTTTTTAGATCCTTCATAAAACTAGATCTCTACGGCATACATTTTCTAATATTGTATAGTTAGCTATTCCTGTCCGTGTTCCATTTCGTTTCGAGTTAAATTCCCGCGAATTTCTTCTTCCTTTCTTTAACGTCTCTATCTATTTATCTAACTCTACCATCTTCTTCCCTATCACCCCCTTTAGTCCCCTTTTATCTCTTTCTACATCTTACGACTTGGCTGATCTCCAACTAAAAGCGAAAACTACCGAGATCATCCGAGATATTACGACGTCGTAGATCATTTTATGATATGGAACGTAAATCGTTTCGATACGATCATCTTACGTTTACGTTAGTTATCGATCAACGGGCGTCAATTAATGAATTCACGGTGAGGAAAAAAGTTATTAAGAAGTAGAAAAAATTTACAAAAAAGAAAAATTTCATATTAATCAGAGAATGTTTTGTTTGAACGAATATTTATTTATTTTTCTTTTGTAATGTACTTACCTTCCTTGTCGTAGAGCCTAAAAGCTTCTCGAAGTTCCTTCTCAAGTGCTTCAGCATCTTCCTCAACGATGAATTTCGCGGCTAAGGTGACGAACTCTTCGAATTCCAAACGTCCTGATTCTAAACAAATCAAACGGGATTGTATGTTTATTTTTTTTTGTATTCCTTTGTTTTATTTTTATTCATTTTTTTTCCGAAATTATTATAAACAGTCGAACCTTAGTTCCCCTAGAATGGGAACATTATATATATATTATTTCCTTATAGTGCATATATTTATGGATAATTTAGAGAATGAAAATATTCTTTTTTTGTCCAATAGTTTATATAGTATATATTGAACATTATAACGGAATAGAATTTCTATTAGAAAATTTATGGATTAATATCATTAATGTCACTCACTGTCAGCATCAACTTCCTCTATAAGTTCATCGAGAATTTTCTTGTTGAACGGTTGTCCCATAAGTCGAAGTATATCAGCCACCATGTCGGTGGGAATGCTACCACTTTTTTCTCTGTCGAAACTGTCGAAAGCTTTACGAAGGACTGGAAAGGAAAAAAATGAAGTTTGAATTTTTTTTATTTTCTTTTATTTTATTTATTTATTTTTTTCTTTTAAGGATAAAAAAAATTCGTTGAATTTATTGGGAAAGTATTTCCTTTTTTTTGTCTCTCTCTCTCTCTCTCTTTTTCTTTCTCTCTCTTTCTTTCTCTTTCTCTCTGTCTTTTTCGTTTTCGTTTTCGGGTTAAAAAGCTCGTAGCTCAACGTTCACGCAGTGCGCCATCGGTTGCGATTCAAATTTAGATCCGATGTTAATGCCCTTCCTTACCCTCACGATTTTGGCTCTCGGAGCTTATTTGGCTTTCTATATCATCGCTCATAGTCGTTTACATCGTTTATTTACTACTGTCTCGAGAAAAAGAGAGAGGAGAGAGAGAGAGAGAGAGAGAGAGAGAGAGAGAGAGAGAGAACGAGTCCTTTACTAACGTAAATCAACGATCTTTTTTTTTTTCTAATGACAAAATTAACTAATCGATAAAAAAAATATGACGAAAAAGTAATGTACGAAAAAGATTACAAAATTATATAAAAATGATCTAATTTTCTTCGATATTAAATATCATTCTAACTGCGTTGAGTTGTTTTACGATTTGGCACAGTACGAAATTTCAAAGCACGACAACAAGTAATATAACGCGTTGTTTAATTTATCGTTTGTAAATAAACAAAGAAAACGACTGTCCTTTTTTTTTTTTTTTTAAATTTTACGAAGAGTTATTATAGAATGAGATGGGTTTTTCCATCTATCTTTGACCATTCCTTTTATTTTCTATATATATATATATATATATATATATATATATATATATATATATATATTTGTAATTTTCTTTTTTCAACGATATCCCAAAGGAAATCTTCTGGAAAATAAGGAAACAGTTTTATTAGAATATCAAGCGAATAATCTCGAGAGAATCGTTTTCTTCGTCGAAGTTATGAGATTCTATTTTTTTTTTTCTTCATTTTATTTTCTTTTTCTTTTCCTTTTTTGTTTTTGTTTTGCACAAGATCTGGAAAATATGGTTTTAGTTATTTTTATCAATCTGATTGGATTCGAACGAAAAGCGACAGACTGATCGATCGTCATGTTATATCTTCTAAACGAATGAGAGAGAGATAGAGATTGAGAGAGAGAGAGAGAGAGAGAGAGAGAGAGAGAGAGAGAGAGAGAGAGAGAGAGAGAGAGAAAGAGAGAGAACACTACACATGCAAGCTATACTTAGGTACCCAGCAGCTGCTCCCAATCGAATCGAAGCTCAAATAAACTCGAGTACCTTTGTCGAGCTACGTTAGCCGCGTTAACAGCATGAACTTCGAGGATGGAAGGGACCTTACGATCCGATTTAGAAATCCTCTAGTTTCCTAACGTTACTGCCTTTCAACTTCTTACGAGTCACGTGTATTCATTTTTAGCCTTTGAAATGATGTTAAACCGAACACCTTTCTGTAGTTAACCCGTTTTGAACTTTACAATATAAAGATATGAAAGTATATGTACTAGATTATTATATCTAGATATTATATCTTTAAATAAATTTATTATTTAATTTGTTCAATTGAATGTCCAAAAATATTTTAAACGTAAAGGTAAAAATATGTGTGTGTAGATATTATGAAGGATAAAAATTTGAAGTAAAACAAAGATAAAATATATTCGTTCGGTATTTGTGCCTTTCTCTTTCGAGAGTTTAATAAATTTATTGTAAAACTAAAATGCATACTGTTCATTTTTTTTGATTTTAATCTTTTATAATTTTGAAATATTTGTTAAAGATACAATAAAAGTTTTGTCAAAATCAAATTATTATTTAAAATTCGTAGCTTGTTTACGATAATACATTGATTAATAATGTAAGTTTGACATTATATATAATGTTTGTTAAGATAAAAATAGAAATAAAAATTCGATTAAAGAACAGAGATTCGATTATAATTAAATTACATTATAAACTACTACATAGTGATTAACTAAAACGTGACCGTAAAGTACAACTAGCAACCATTAGCAAAGCTGAGCAAGCAGGAGGGAGAAAAGGGAGAATACGAAGAAGGGTAGAGAAGAGAAGCGACTAAATTTAGTCGGGCACACTGAAAATAAGATACGTTTTCCGGAACGTCGTCATCCGAGACTCGATCGTGAAACGAATCATGCTTTTCATCGGACGATCTCTTTTCAATGTATTTTATATGATATTTATTAGAGAAAAGAAGAAGAGAGAAAAAGATAAAGAGAAAGAGGGAGAGAGAGAGAGAGAGAGAGAGAGAATCGATTTTTTTTTACTTACCAGCAATTTGTTCTGGAGGCAATTCGTCGGCCTGTAAAATAAAAATAAAAACATATCGAACGATCAGAAATGAAATTAATTTGTGATCATCGTCGTCGTCTCGCCACGAAATGCAACAAAATAATGCGAGCTGCAACAACGATGTTTTAATCGGGACGATGATTTCGAGTTAACTTTGATCTTTCTTCTTCTTTTTTTATTATTATTATTTTTTTTTTATTATTATCACGCAATCAAATCACGATTTATTATGTTCAACGACAAGAATCTTTGTTATATTGATCACGTACATTGTTACGAATGCCGCGTATATTTTTTTTTTATTTATATTTATTTATGTATTATTATTTTTTTTTTTTATTTCTTTTTTGTAAAATTCGCGCAAAATTCTTAACGTCACTTGTATATTTCGCATATAATTCAAACTTTTGGCTGACTTCTTCTTTCACAAGTCACGATGATGGATAAAATAACACTTTCGAACGAAATATATATATATATATATCGCGAAATATATATCGCGAAATATATATCGCGAAATATTATAGAGAGTGGATTATGAACACTTTGTTGCGTCGTGGGATTATTCGGACGATTAATCAATTAAATTGACGAAAAGATCGTTTGATTTTCGATGCCGTTTCTCCGATCGTTCGTTCCATATATCTTTCTTTTTCTTTATCGATTTTTATTTTCTTTTTAATATGACGAATCTTGTAAAAATCGAAATTATTTTTAATTGGCACGATCGATTGGAGGAACGTCTTCGAAAAAATTCGCCGTCTAAGAAACAATCACGTTTCCAGGACCTCGCACCTCCTGAACATGCTTTTTTTATTCCTTATTTCCGAAAAAAATCCCGCGTTTTTTTCTTTTTTCTTTCTTTTTTTTTTTCTTTTTCTTTTTTTGTAAAGAAACATCTTTTTTATCGCACCAACACTGTTCCGCGCGAATATTATTTTTATTTTTTTACTTCGTTTGTTTCGCGAGTTCGTGCACTAGAAAGAGAGAGAAAGAAAGAGAGAGAAAGAGAGATAGAGAGAGAGAGAGAGAGAGAGAGAGAGAGAGAAAGAGAGAGAGAGATAGAGAGAATAATGGAAAGAAATAGAAAGTAAAAAATATTAAAAAAAAAAAAAAGCAACACTGAAATGAAAGCAATTAGATAAGGAAACATGTACAGTACAAATTGTTTTAAAAACATGCCAATAGAATTGAAAAAAAAAAATTAGACAAAAAGTAAGAAACATAGTAATTAGATATACAAAAAGTGTTTTTGCGTGTGTACGTAAGAATGAAAATATAAATAAAGAATAAAGAATAAAGAGAAAGAGAGAGAGAGAGAAAGAGAGAGAGAGAGATAGAGAGAGAGAGAGAGAGAGAGAGAGATAAAGAATAAAGAGAAAGAGAGAGGTAGGTCAAGAACAATTAAAAAATATAATAAATAAAAGATAGTAGACAATAGGAAAACGTGTATGTTACCAGGGCGACGACTTACGATATCATCGATTGAACATACCATGATGGCGACGCGGTTTTTTGCTCTTTTTTATATATCTTATATATATATATATTTATATATATATATATGTCTATATGTATATATCAGGCTCGATATTATACAAGATCGACACAATCTGTGATGATATTGATTGAACGCTTGGATTTACGGTCACTCGATTATAATATGGAACGTTTGAAGAATTATAATGTACGATATTAATCGATATAAATCGAAAATTTGATGAGATTTCTTTTCTTTTCTCTTTTTTTTTTTTTTTTTTTTTCTGTACGAACGATGTTACGAAACAGATAGATAAATAGATACAGATTAAATCAGATCGAAAGAATAATGACGATAATAATAGTAATAGTAATGAAAACAGAAGAAAGAAAACAAACGAAAAAAAAAAGACAACAGAAAAAACTGTGTAATCCCAAAAAGTCGAAGTCTGTTTGTTTGTTTGTTTCTTTTTTTTTTCTTTTTTCTTTTTTTCTTTCTTTTTCTTTTTGTTTTTTTTTTTCTCAACTCGAGCCTGGCGGACGAGCTTAAAGCTTTACGAACACTGTCAAGAGATGCGAGAACTGCCGTGGTAATATTCGAATGAGCCGATATAGCGGTTGCGTACCGATCCCGGACCGCGCCCCGCAACTTCCAGCCAATCACAAGCTTCTCTCTTTGGTAGCGGGCCTTAGAGATTTCGGAAGGGCGCTTGCGCTATTTCGGGGACGTGATACGAACACTTGGCATTTTCCTCCTCGTTTCCAGGACTCTCTCTTCTCTTTCTCTTTTATTCTTATTATTTTATATTCTTTTTATTTTTTTTTATTTTTTTTTTTTTATCGTTCGGAGATAATCTCTCTCTTTTTTCTTTCTTTTTCTTTTCTTTTCTTTTCATTTCTTTTATCTTCATTTTCGTCAATTCGATTTTATCGTTTTATTTTGAGAGCCTAATCGAAATTCGTTTTTTAAAAACGAATCAACGAACGGATGGTATGTGGGGATAAGTGAATGAACGATTTGATTTTTCTTTTCTTTTTTTTTTATTCTTTGCACAATCGTGAGACGCATGTGACCGTGGATCACTTTGAAAAGTGTTCGTTCTATCGCAAATCATTCGAATATTTCGTCGTTACGAAAATAGAGAATTAGAATTCTCTAGTCCACCGTGTAAGCAACAGTAAAATGTTGAAAATGTATATGGTGAACGATACATTCGATTCAGATCGATATCAAACGATTGCAATTTGATAGGATCCTTCGCGTAAAATTTTTTTAATGTTTTACGTACTTGTTTGTTCTAATTTTAAAACGTAGTAAATATTATCTTATGGCATTGGGTTAATTCGAGTAGAAATGTTTGTTAAAATAGAATTGTTGTTTTTTTGACATTGCCCAAGTACATATTTTGCCTGATCGAGTAACAAAGCAGGAGACTGTGTTGTTTTCAAACAACAGGAAAACATAGGAAAGATTTTCCTTTGCGTTCTTTGCCAGGAAGCTTTCCGAATGTCTTTACAATGCCAATGCGGTACTGATGTGAGGAAATTCGTTAGAATGTTTACCAGACTTTTAATAGAATATTTAATAGGATTTTATCTATCAACGTTGTTAGTACACATTTAAGTATTTTGATTATTATATTATTTATGTCGTTAGTACGAATAATTTCAAATATATACGATATAATCTCAATATTTTCTTCTTGTTCGTCAAAATTCTCGGTGTAAAATTAACTACATCTTAAGTTGATAAAATATAATTAAATTAGAGATGTTTACGAATAACTCGTTGATTCTCAATGGTCCAATGATTTATGAATGTGATAAACAATAAAGTAAACAAGTAGCACAACGTAAATTGTACATTTAACGAAGTTGGATCAATGCGTTTGGAGAACGTCCAAGGTGTATACTCTTAATGACATCTTGAGATATAAGCGAATCACTAGATATGATTCATCGGTATGGTGAAAACATTTGAAGATATAGAAATGAAATGAAATGAAATGAAATGAAATGAAATGAAATCGACTACAATGGGACTAGAAAATATTGAACGATCCTTGATACGTCAAGTCCTACTTTGAAACTGATACCTGGCCAAGTTTTTCAAGTTACTATTTATCATTCAACCATTTTATAATAATCTATAAAGTTTGAAAAGTTTGTGCTAATAGATTTCCCTAAAATTCCGTGGAAATGATTTGACACGACGATATAGCCGAGCCAAGTAAGATTGATTTATATCTGTCAGATTCAAAAGCAATGGGACTTTACTGGACAGAAAGATAGAAACGTTCTTGATTTATAATTTCAACTAATTTGCATTAATGACATAGTCACATTTTAGCAACTAATTTAATTTAACTAGGTTATATTTGTAGATCTAGAAAGAGACGAGGTCAGTTATTAAAAAAAAAAAATAAATACGTTGTTATAAACAAGTTTCTACATTGTTTTGTCGGAAGGGAATAAGCGTACCGTGCGCGTTAAATATTTTTAGTATTTTTATCACAAACGGATAAACATTGCTCTTACGAGTTTTACGAAAGCATACGAGTACAGACTTTATTTCGTCGGTGGATAACTTTTTGGCTAGTTGCCCATTTTAAACGCGAGACGTATAAAACTTCAGACAGGTCTACGTACGTCGATCCATATGTACATATAACCGGGTAAGATCTTCTCGTTTTTCTCCGACTCATAAAATACGTTACTTCGCGCTACAAGGCACTTCGCTTCGTCATCTTGAATTATTTTACGACTATGAACCATCGTCTCGAAGGAATATGTAAGTTGTAAAAGTTCTAATAACTCTTACACAAGGTGATTTTTAATTTAAAAAAAAAAAAAAAAAAAAAAGAAGAAGAAAGAAAAAACTTTCCCACGATTACGAAATAATTGTCATAATATAAGTTATAAAAATTATTGATCATTTATCACTTCAATTAATTCATTTAATTTAATTAATACTCGTCTATGAACTTTAGGATTTAATTATAAATAATTACGTTTATTATCTATACACAAGAGTTTATATAAAAAAAAAGATTTTATTGTAGGTTGAATTTTGTAGAAATGAAATAATCAGTGGAATCATTGAATTGTTATTATTATTGAGAACCTGTAGATAACAATGCTAACAATGCACTGGTAGCACCCACAGAAAGTATATAATTTACTGCTGGAGAGAATGCTCTTAATATGTAAAATGATGATACTATGACGAATGCAAGGAACAAAGCATTGTTGTAGAAGATAGAGAAGGTCGTCGCTTCATAATCAGCTACTTCATTTTTCTTCCACAAAATCCTTAAAAAAAGTACACAATAATGTATTAATTTTAATTTGGAAATAGTAAATACTCCATATAAAATTATAGACAAATTAATACCTTTCATCCTTTTCTTTTTTACTCATTTTCTTATCCTCTGCAAGTTTGCGATTCATCTCTTTAGTAACTGCATCTTCTCTCTTTACTGCGATCTATTAAATAAAAACATGATTTAAGTACAAAGAAATTTTATGTTAATAGAAATACATAATTAAAAAATTTAACGTACCTTGTGCTTCAGAATAAACTTTGTATTCTTATATGCAAGAGCAAGAGTATATGTGCTTATTAAAGTGACCAAAACGAAAGATATCAAATTAGTATATAGATCAATCATATGAATCCTCCAAAATAGCCCTGTAATATATATATATATACATATTATATATATATATAAATCGATTGAAATGAACGATTTCGAAAATAATGAAGATTATAAATTTGAGGTTAACTAGAGAAATTATTAAATTCTAATAAATTCGTTTAATAAAATGTAAAGCCATGAAAGAAAATCTGCTTAAAATGAAGAAGAAAAAAAATAAAATTTCTATCGGTTAAAAAATAACATTTAAAAATTATAAAATCTGTATAATATTATACTTACAAATAGGGATCGCAGAGACGATAAGAGCATTACCATAAAATAATGCAGAAGATTTGGTAGAAACGTTTCTGGAAAAATCCTGAAGTAGAAGTTCTTCCTCTTTAGTAAATGCTTTTGATTTTCCTGACATTTTTGAATATTCTTTTAAATACAAAATAATTGATTGACACAGAGACGTTATTTGTAGAAAATTAAGTATCCTTCTGTTATAGTCGAATTCGGCGCATGCGCAGAAACGTTGCAAGTGTAGCGCGTGTGCCGACGTGTCAAACGAAACGTCACTTAGGTTGGACATACAGACGGTGCTCTCTAGCGGAGTTTATTGAAACGTATTGATCACGTGGTGAATTAATGGAGGCAAGTTTCAATTTTTTTTTTTTTTTCTTGAAACACTAAAGAAAAACTACACAATTTTATCTTATATATCTTTATAAGTATTATTGAACTACTTGACTTTATTATAGTTATTGAGTCTTATTAATTTTTTTAATTATCAATTTTATGTGTAATTATATTTTTAGGTAATGTAAAAATTCCAAGACTTGAAAACGTTGTTTGCTTTATTGTATATTCCTTTCGTCCTCGTAATAGGTACATGACAGCATCTAAAATGCTCATTCACAATCCACTGAATTTAACGTTCACTTTCACACAAAGGCGCTCATATCCTTGTATTTCTTTTATTTCTGTGTTATTTATTTATTTTTTTTTCGTTTTATTATCCTACTCGTACATTCGCTCTTCTTCTCTCATTCATAGATAAATAAATTATAGGCTAATATTTACAATATCTTAATAGTTTCTTTCTCTTACTTAATAGTCCTTTGTCACTTAATAGAGATGTATTTTGTAAAGAATCTAGAAATATTGAGCTTGGTCTGGTTGATATACTTAATATATTTGTCATTTTGCTTTTGAATCACGTATAATGTGTATATATTATGGATACACATAAACGCATACTTTTTTTTTTTTTTTTTTTTTAAATCATTTGAAACTTTGCATCGTATTTATCAAACACGTCTAATCATTTGTGGTGCAGCTTTTAAAAAGTTAATCGTGAACGAGAACAAAGGATATAAATAAATCATTTGGCATTATATAAACGTAAAAATTGACATAAGTATCTTAAAAACTTTATGTGTAATTTGTATTTTTTTCTTTTTTTTCCTTTTTTCTCCTTTTTTTTTTTTTTTTTTTTTTTAAATATCTTTACATGAGATAATTCATCGCAACTTTATTGTGTATTTTACTGTAACTCGATAAATCGTATCAACAATAACTTCTGTTTCATTCGATAAATATGGAAAACTTTGTCGATTATTATCCCAAATGTAAAAAACGCAAGAAAGTATTTTTTTTTTTTTTTTTTTTTCAAATAATATTAATACATCTTCTTTTTTTTTAAATAAAATTAATAATAATGAATTAATAGAACAATGAGATTGACGCGACGAGTATTTTAAAGACTTACCGAAATGACGAGCGACGATTTGAGGTAATCCTTAGCCGAGAATAATTTTGTTTGATCATTCGATAATCGCTACGTGTAATATATTTGAAAGTGACTATTCGAATTTGCAAGAGAAGGATTTCAAAATGAGTCTTTAATCGAAATAAAAAGAAGAAGAGACGTTTTATGATGATTTAAAATAAAAAAAAGAAAAAAAGAAAAGAAAAGGAAAAGAAAAATTTACATTAAAAATTAACAATTTTAAATTCAGAATTCGAAGATAGAAAAGTAAAAGGCATTGTGTGTTCACGAAAATTGTACGTACATTCGGATTCACATTAGAAATTAGAATCCTTTCTGTAGAAAACGAGCGACTATCCTGCAATTCCCCCCTCCCCCCTCTCTCTTTCACTCTTTCTCTCTTTTCATATACGCATTAATCTCAATCTTGAACTCGATCAAGGAGAACTACATCATAGTCTCTCTACGACTAGTCAAACTATTAAAGTCTAATTGCAAGTAAGGGCAATCGTTTTCACAAAAAGCTCCACTACCAGCTGCTGCACTTCTCCAATTGTCGGTGCGCATTGTATTCGTTAAATAACAGAATACTTCTAGGACCTCGTTAATACGCTAGGAACCTGGGCTAGCATTTTCGCTACTTCTCTGTCTCGCCTCGAGCTCTTCAGCAAGCATCTTAGCTTCCCAATCCTTGGCACATTCACTTTTGGTATCTTCGTCGTCGCTATCGCTACCAGATGGTAACGTTCGAGAATGACAACCACCATCATCATCTTCGGATTTACTACTTTCGCTATTGGATTCCAAATCTATTGCAACTTCGTCTCTCCACAAACTTTGTGGAACTATTGATCTTGGTAATTCCTGTAATTCTAAAGTTTCCTCCTCGGAATGTTCTTCCCAGGATCTTCTGTTGTGCGAAGATTCGCTCGTTGGCGAAGGTCGTCCATAGGCACGTGAACGAGCTGTTAAAACAGTATCCACCGAGCCATCTCTCATAAAAGGATGATCTTCCCTATCGTCGTCATATTCTTCCTCGTTATCATCGTCCAAATCTTCCTCAAGGGAAATGTCATGTTTTGTACTGTCATCGCCGGTAAGAGCTATTACTTCGTCACATTTTCTTCTTTCATTTTCTTCCAATTCTTGTATCCTTCCTTGAAGTTGTAAAATGATTTCGTCTCGCTTACGAATCTCTAATTCCAAGGAAACGAATTCCCGTTTGAATTTATTTTGAATGTCCTCCTCCTACAAAAAAAAAAAAAAGAAAGAAAAAAAAGAGAAAAAAAGAAGAAAAAAGAAAGAAAGAAAAAAATGAACAAAGAAAAACAAAGAAAAGATAAATAATAAATTTTCCAAGATTTTTATTATGATGTAGGTGTACGATATATGTCTATACTTACTAAACGTGCTTGTATGATTTCTATAATATCCGATACGAATTCTTTAAGATATTCCTCTTCTTGTTGTTTAGTCTCCATTTGCAGAATAGCCTCACTGCCCGAAGGACGGAAAGTAATTTTATTGGGCGGTGGCAGTGAGGTCTGTTCCTGAGATTCAGACAACTGATCCCCGAGAGGATAATTTCCTGGGCTCTGCTCGGACGGTGGACTTTGTAATGTATATTTATTGAAGGTTACACTTTTCGATAATTTCGTATGTCTGGCAGCATAACCTTCGATCGTTGGTGCTCTCATTAATCGTCTTAATTCGGCAGTAGCAGCTTCACGATCAGGTATACTCGTTGCTGAAGTATCCGAACTACCTGTTCTACTACTTGCTGAGAGTTTCTTCAAGATGCTCTTTAAGTCTCGCCTTTCGAGTGTCTCATTTTCTGGTGATAATGGTTCCGTTGGTGAAGATGGACTTTTTAGACCCTGTTTTATATTAAAAATATTACTATTAGGAAAAGTATTTGTTTGGGAAGGTATTTGACTTGTTTTTGTGAAGGTTTAAAGAATGATCTTATTTAACACTAGAACTATTAAATTGGTTAAACTGACAAAATTGTGATTAATAAAAAAATTTTTAATGGAATTATTTATAAAATGGAATTATTGTTAGTTCTAATGTCAATTATTTTTTTCTGAAATTTATTCAAAAGTAAGAATTTAATAAAAGATTTTTTTGTGTCGACATACCCGTACTTGATTGAGTTTAGCAAGTTTTCTTGCATATTCAATAGCACAGGCTTCAGAATGGCTACGAGTGAGACTCCCATCGAAAGTAGTTAAATTGGAATTTTCACCGCAGTCTAAACTAGAACTTCTCACTGCTTTCTCAAGTTCAGCAAGCTTTTGCCTTTCGTTTAATATCTTGAGCTTCTTAACGAACGGTAGGCCGCAATATTCTGGCGATAGATCGTCGACGGAAGCATACATTTTGGTTTGTTGCCTGAGATGAGCAAGACTTTGTTGTTGTTTCGTTTGCGGTCTTTTAATTGGTGAACTTCTCTGAGGTGTATTGTTTTTTATTGTCGAAGACGACATCAAGAAAGTTGTTGTAGTAGTAGTAGTTAAGGAAGCATCTTTGAGCATAGCCCAAGGTTTTTTAACATTGGTAGTACCATTTGAGACAACAACGTCGTTAGTCGTTGGTGTATTTTCGATTGTTGCAACGGATGGTGAAGGCTTTGGAATTATCGATGGTACCACAACATTATTCGTAGATTGAAACTGTCGTTTATCAACCAAAGATGATACTTTTGGTATCGATATTTTATCGGCAACCTTTTGTTGTGTCTCCTTCGTATCTTCTTGAACATTTTCCGTTACAGTCGTATTCTTTGACAATAAAGGCTCCTTCATCGTGGCTTCCTTTTCCGCTTGAGCTTGTGCCTCTTGTTCGTTTTTAGCTTTTAACAAGAGTACTCTTTGTGTGAATGATAAATTAGGATTAGTTGGAACAAGTGCTTCAGCCGGTGGCGGCTGTTGTTCAGGCACGTGAACTTGAGTCTCCATTAGATTACGTCTCTCCTCTCGTTCTTCTTTCTCCTTGAGTAATTTTAATATTGAGAGAAGAGGTAGACCAGCACCCAAAGGTGACACAGGTGGTTCTTGAATAGCATTTGTTGTTGCAATATCCTGTACATCTTCTACCTTGTGTCGTTGTCTCTTCGTTGAACTGGACGGTGTTTTTGATGTCAACGGTTGCAATTCTAGACTCTCTTCTGGTCTAGTGTTACGTTTACTTTTTCTTAGAACGTTCTTCCAACCTTTCACATCGCTCTTTAACTTGTCCACGATTCTTTTACCGGTACTGTTGTCCGACGAGTCGTGTCCAGGTGACGTTGGTTGTCTCGATGCACGTGCTACTCTCTTTGCTTCCATTAATCGTTTTCTTCCAAGATTTTGTAAAATTTCTTGGGCTTCTGGATAATCCTTCATTGCTGCTAGAACGTCCTCACGTGAGAGACTAAATAATTCGGAATATCCAACCGATCGGACGTCAGCTGTTCGTCTGAAATTTTTATCGTTTTTATTTTACATTGAAATAATTTGACGATTCTCTTCTGTGCCATTTCAATAGAAATATGTAAAAATAGAAACATTCTTTTTTTTTTTTTTTGCTTTTCTTAGAAATGAATAAGAAATCTCTTTTGTTTCTGATAAAAGTAACTTATATATCTATAGACATATGTCATTAGTAACATTAATATATCTCATAACTCACTTATTTAATCCGTCGAGATTGAGTATGCCGATTTCACCAAAAAAGTCGCCGGCTTTCATCGTTGTAAGAACTCTTCCAGTTTCGCTGATTACCTCGAGTATACCGT